GGGGGGGGGGGGGGGGGGGGGGGGGGGGGGCCCCAGAACGGGTTTGGCTTGGTGGGGGGGGGGGGGGGGGGTTCTCGGCCAAAACTGTACAATTTTTCAGTGATGTCCATATCCGGGATGTGTCAGGGTACCGACCGGAAATTTCCGCTCAAGCAGGGGACGAAAACGTCCCATCCCCGGGGTGGTATACAACGTATGCTCTTGACATTTTGCTCGTTGCAAGAAGCTCGCTCTATGTATGTATGCTGTATACAGACAGTATACAGTATATGCAACGTGTGCACAGCAGTTGACAGAGAAAGGTGCTACGAAGCAACGTGCTCTGTCTCTCTGCCTGTGTGTTCTGAATTATCTCATGTTCTGTACTAATACTTGCTGTAAGTCCGTTCTTCCAAAATTTATGTAGGTTGTGTGCCAGGAGAGAGGTAAAGGTATAGATAGGTAGTGTGTGTGTGACTTCCCGACGGATTCCTTCTACAGGCATGTGAATTTATTCCTGCCAAATCATAGATAAAGAGAATTCACACAGCAGTTAACACATCATAACAGCAGAGCCACGAGGCCGCGTTGGCTAGACTAAACAGCAAGAGTTCATGTTTTGAAAATAAAAAGATGCGCCGAAAAGATCTGCAGGCAATTAATTGATGCAGGAAGAGAAAGGTTCTCTCGTCTCTACCTGCCAAACTACACAGCACACCATGCCTCCCACAAAGTAGGATAGATGGAGAGATATCGCACAGCAGTAACAACAACCGTAGCCCCGGCTAGGCCGTTTCTGGCTACGAAACAAGGAAAAATGTCAGGGTGGATGCGCTGTTCATCGTGTTGAAAAGTAATTCGGGACATACACATACACCTCCTTGTATGTAGACTACCGTATATGACACAAGATAACACACCTACATAAGAAAGCACCCCCCCCACAGAATACGACACCCCGGTGATAGTTTTGGGCGCTTCTGACAAACCATCGATTTAGCACCGGGGGTACATAAGATGACACACCCCAGTGATATTTTTAGTTACGCCGCATATACCGTATATGACACAAGATAACACACCCCCTTGGCCGATTTTCAAAGCTCGATTTCTCAACAGCAGGAAGAGTCACAACGCCGAAAACGGCGGCGTTGGAACCGTCTCGTCGAGAGCTGTTCGAAAACGTATTGTTTCATTTATGCATCCTCTTCGTCGTGGAGTAATCGAGCTTTGAAAATCGGTCCAGGGGGTGTGTTATCTTGTGTCATATACGGTAGTCACGGGGCCCCTCCTTCTTTATCACCGGGGTGACAGCATGATCTGCCCTGGGCAATCACACACACAACCCACGTCAGCTGTGTGCGGGGAAACACCCGCATGGAGACCCCCAACAACATGAACGTGCAGGCAGAGCAGAATGCAGCCGCAAGTACCTCCCCGCTCCTTCGACAACTGCTTCGACTGCAGCAGCAAAGCACACGCTGTGGCTGTTCGGACGTGCTATCATACCCCCTTCTATCACACACCCTCATTTATCACACCCCCTTAAGGGCCCCGCGAGCTGCACTTTATCACCCGGGGTACACAAAGATAACACACCCCCCACAGGATAACAAACCCGGTGATAATATTTTCAAACTCCAAAATGTTATCACCAGGGTGTGTTTTCTTGTGTCACATACGGTATTGTATACCATGCGGGGTGTTCTTGCCGTGAAAACAGAAGAAAAATATTTCATCGGGAAAAAAGACCCATAACAGATCTCGGCCCCTTCCCGTGTGCAGCACACATCTCGCGCGCATCATTGATGGGTAGATCGAAGTCACACAGCAGTAACAAGAACGAACGGCAGACCTGGCTACGTTACTTTTTAGATGAAATTTAAAAGGGTTGGGTTGGGTTGGGGTTGGGTCGCCGCCGTCGATCGCGCCGCCGTCGCTTCGTCGTTCGTCGCCGTTGGGTAGTGTTGGGTAGGGTTGGGTAGGGTTGGGTAGGGTTGGGTTGGGTCAGTCGGTAGGTCGGTCGATCGGGCGGCCTTGGGCCGCCTTCGTCGATTGCGCCGCCGTCGCTCCGTCGATCACCGCCGTCGATCGCCCTTGTAATAACCCAGCCGGTTTCCCTCCACTCACTGAAAAGACTCCACCACATCCCGTTCGACTGCTGTGGGTATATCTAGTCTTTCTGTTTATGTTTTTATTCCTTAATAAATACGACGAAAACAAAAACACACAGACAACTGCTGCAGGCTACCCGGTCGACCACGTTACGGAGTAGCCTGTGCCCAAGTTGAAGGGGTTCGTTGGTTGACAGCAGGTGAGTAGGGAAAGCAAACCATTTGGAAACTGCAGCAGTAGGCAGGCATGTTGGAGTCCGTTCGAGCCTGGATACACTGCTGTGGAGATCCGCCATGGTTGTAATAATAGTTCTTCCTGCTTTCCATTTTCCACAATACCGGAGACGGAAAGCATTCACCGGTAGACTATGTTCTCGGAACGGTGGACTCCGAACATCTGTCACAAGTCAAGAGTAAGCTCGAGTCCACAACGCGTGCATTTACGTTGGATACTTCCATCACAAGAGAGACGGAGAGAGCCGATCGCGATGACGAGTTCGATCCATGCTCGCACCGTCCAACCATGAGGTTTCCTTTCTGTTGATGGTTGGCCCAGCACGGAGAGGAAGAAACAACAGCATCACTGTTACAGCCGGGTAGTGCTTATAGACTCTGCGGGAGCGTGTGTGTGCACGGCAGCAGGAGCTCGACCTTGAGGTTCAGCCACCCGCTGATGCAATGCAAATAACACATCCATCCGTTGCATGTTGAATAAAAGGCCGACATTTAATTAGCCATTTCCGTCAAAAACAGCAGGCGTTGAAGAAAATCATCTGAAAATACCTCCGTCATCACGGATTACTTCGAATTGAAACTTTGGAGGCTCTTACAACAGCGAGTATATAATGTAATCACTTGCGTCCCATGGATACCCGCGTGTGCAATTTGTTCTCAAGCCCAAACGGTTGGGAGAGAGTAGCGCAAGAGGAGTCGTGGAGCACGGATCCAGCGCAACAGCGTGTGGGAGAGTGCACGAGGGTAGAGATAAGCGTGCCCGCGTGCAGTGAGGTAATTTTGTTCGTCCGTGAAAAAGCCAATCGGGGATGCTACGCACTACGCATACAACCCTCTTATTACCGACCGTTTTCTGCGAAATATTTGATTGGTGCCTTCTGCGCCAACTTATGTTGCCACCCAGCGACCCCTACTGCTGTAGGGGCGCCAACAGACAAAAGCAGCGCTGGTTTTTGGGCTGCCATACAAGAGCTCTCGCGTGTGCTGGTCACAGCAACCAAAAAAATACCAGTCGCAACTTGTACCACGGTACCAGTAGTAGAGCCGTTCTCTGAACCTTTTCGAAGAAATCGCACCGCACATCTTCCCGAGTTCAGCACGTTGCCCAGGCGTGGCTTGGTGAGGGAGATACGTCGGGCGACTTAGGTCATGGGGCAATCCCACAGCTGGGCAGCGGCCTCGACGCGATGGGTAGGCCAATATCTCAATATCTCCTCTAGGCCTGAAGGACCGCTGTTTTCGTGGTATCCCTATCATCTGCCAGATATGGGTTGGCTGTGTAAGGTGCTCGAATATCACGATTTTGTACCACGCAAGGCACCCTCACCTCAAAGGCATCATCCAACATGCCGTGGTAAGAGCTTCCCACGTCTTGCAGCGGCTGCTCGGGAGCGGACGTCCCGCCGCCGGGGGCGATCCACCTCGAGCTCGATGCCGAGACCGCGGAGCAGAACAAGCCAACAATCGCGACTACGCCCACAGCCCTTCTCCAGCCCAGCTGCTGCATCCCTTCCCGCTCTGCACCGCGGTCCCTTGTCCCCCTCTGCCCATCCTCCTTCTTGTCACCGATCGGGACATAGCTCCTCCTCGAGGCGTAGGCCTCGAGGTACGGCTGCACCCCGTTGCTGAAGCTGTCGCTGCTGTGCATCGTTTGGGTGTGCGCGCCCGCTGCTGTATTTTGTGCCTCCCCACGCAAGCACCACCAGGCCGCCGCCCGCAATCGAAAATCCTATCGCGCGTGTGTGTTTGTATCTGTGTTTGTCTCCCGCTTCCTCTGCTGTGGCGCCGCAGGACCACTACACCTCCGCACAAGCGCGGGGGTTGCTACCTCACCCGTTCCCAGCCACCAGCAGCAGAAGAGAAAGTTCCTGCGCCCGCCGGCTCTCGCGTGCAGCAGCAGCAGCAGCAGCAGCAGCAGCAACGGCGTCAGCAGACCATAGGTGAATCTCCGGTGCCCCTCCTCCCCTCCTCTGGCAGTTACCTCGTATTTTTGCCTATATCGGTGAAAAAAACGCAGACAATCAATAGCCAAAATAAAGCGTGATCTGTTGAACATATTGGGCGGGGCCACCGACAGGCGAAGAGGAATTTCTCAGAATTTTCATTCGACCAACAGCGGCTTCCTGTACAAAGCTGTGTGTCTTGGAAAACTCCCTGGAGCCCTCTGGAGTGCTGGAGCCTCTGCCCATTCGTCTGCGGATATTTTCTAGAACCTTGTTTTCCATACGCTGGGCTATGTTTCTGCATCACTGCTGCTGTGCTGTTTTGGTCAAAGCTGTTGTACAGGTTATCATAAGACTGTGGTCTACAGATTCAACAGACAGAGTGGTGCGGTGTCGCAAAAGTCTCCATCCAGAAGAACTCTCTCGCAACGCTCCGCATGGTAACCTTCCACCTTACCACAAAATATCCGCACAGGCCCAACCACGTGAGACTCGTATACATAAGCCTTCCGTAGTCACAGGCCAACTTCCTTCACACCTCTTTTTTCTTTTTTTTTTTTGGTCTTCACTTCAAATCAGCACTCACAGCACTATGTATCGTCTCTGGCATCATACCCAGCCGGTTTCCCTCCACTCACTGAAAAAAAGACTCCACCACATTCCGTTCGACTGTGTGTGGGTGTATCTCGAATGGGTATTATAGTCTTTCTGTGTGTGTTTTTATTATATCTCCCGCCCTCTTTCTTTTTTGTCTTGCAGCTGAGCTAGATGCGACACGATTCTCTACAGCGCAAGTACAGTTTGATCATCTCGAAGTCTTATTATTCCAAATTATGTACCAGCTTGTAGCAGATCATGTGTATCTACAGAGTATGTACTCACCGCATATTATGCGTAAATTAGTGTTGGCTACAAGTTCGTGCATATAATAACCGCCGCCGTTTCGAGATACATTTACCCGTTGTCGGAACAAATAACTTCTGTGGGGCCACGAGGACCCCAACTTTTTCACAAGCAACCCCTTTTGGCCGGGTAGTCCAGGGCATGTGGGATGGATATTGGATATTTATCCCACCTGATTATTTGTTGTGTGTTCCCGACGTTCCCGAAAAACCGTGATGTTGCAGCGAGAGAGTGACAAGTATGCATACGATCGATCGTCGCCGTCGATCGCCCTTGTTCTAATTAACAGTAGAGAATTTGAGCGAACGAACAAAACGTGAATTAATTGTGGGGTCCATTCGGTGACAGAAAAACGGAGTTCGTTTTGGTTTGTCGTTCCTACAGTCCTATTTTCCAATCAGTAGCAGACCGACGGAGGGCGTCGTTCCTACCCATCTTCGACGAAACACACAAAAGATCAGGAGAAGACCGACAAGAAGACTACATAGTCGAGACCTACCTGCAAAAAAAGTATGTTCCATCGGGTCCCACTACAATTTGAAATTCGAAAACGGACCACCAGCTCATTTCCTCTCTTGTATACGCACAGTGCAGGGTGAATCATTCGGAACCATGCAATTACGCATTCTAGAACACCATCCCTCGCTGTGTTATCGCCGCCATACCACGCCTGCCTGCGCTTCATCTATCCCACAAGAGCACAAGTCTTACCAGAATCGTTACATGCGGAACACCCAACAGGAACAGAAATAATCGCGAAAACACTCCCGTCTAGACCTTCGCAGCATGCGCACATGCACGCGTAAAGAATACGCGTATACTTTTTTAAACATAACCTCACAGAAAGACTACCCGTTCGAGATGTAACCTTAGTCGAAAGGGATATGTTGAAGTCTTTTCAGGAAGTGGATTGAAACCGACTGGAAACTGGGCGCATTTCTTGAGTTTGTGTGAGCCTATCTATACACTGAGTTATATCAGTGATGCCAGTTGGTGCTCATAACAAAAAACATCTGTGTAGTAGGTGGATACATTCTTAACACATCCACCGACGATTACGTGGTACAACGGCCGAGGAACACACAACGCGGGCTCGAAAGGTCCGCCTTGTTGTACGAGAGACGCAACTCGCCGCTGCCTGTCGGCGAAGCTTTCTTTCCGACCGAAGCCTCACCGCCGGTGGCCGCAGACTCAGCAGAAGTGGCCGCAGCAGCCGGCGCGTTCTCGGCGCGCAACAGCAGCAGCAGCGCTGCTACGTCGGCCATCCCGACTTCTTCCGTGCCGTCCAATGGAAGGACGACGCCCCCGGCTTCCTCTACTAGGACTTGCGGGGAGCATGTGTCCCACTCGCTTGTGGAGTACAAGCAGGGGAACATGTCGACGGTCCCGTCCGCCACTGCGACCGCCTTGAGAGCGGCGGAACCGATGCTTGATGTCTACGGAGGCGTTCATTACGGGGGGGGCGGGGGGATTTATTGAATCCTGTGAGGCTGCGTCTACACGAGAATACTCTTTCTCTCTACAGAGTCGGAGTCCCTGAAGTTTGATTAAGCGTTCATTGATTTCCATTCACAGTCCCGGTGAAACGGGGGCGCAAAGGGCACGTCGGTGATCAAGGTGTTGAGAATTCTCCCCTACAGGTGGAACGCCAAGACGGGGGAAAAAAATCAAATGCATGGATTCACACAGCCAACGAGAGGCGGTGGACCCCGTGCCTATCGTTACGTTGTTGCTGCGCGCCCGACAAAGATACCGGCGCCGTAAGCGCCCTACTTGCCCTTTCTTGCTGTGGTTTTCGAGCCAGAAGTCGCCAGGTTCAGCGTAGAGACAACAGATGGAAGCTGGGCTTGTATTGTACTCCAGAGACAGGCGATTGCACCGTAATTTTGTAGGCGATTAGGGGTTTTGTACTTTCTGAAACTAGAGCGGAAGAAAAGTTAGTCGCAAACACAAATCGCCTACGACGGGGTACAAGCCGATCGAAAGCAAAAAAAAAAAGTCGGGTTGCTGCGGAATTTACATTTCTCACCAAGGAGCTGCCACATGACGCAATGAACTCCCGCGGGGGCCTGGAACTCGACACCGCCAGCCTCAACCCAGAGTCCCGCACGCCAAAGGTCCGTGCGCTGCGAGAAACGCGGAAACGTTATAGGGTAATTACTGTGGGCATCCGCCGTGGGAGTGAGGGGCCCCGGCGAGTTGCCAACCCCCCCTAAAACCGGTCAATACCTTCATGCGACGGAACCCCCGGCAAAGGAGGCCACACTGAGGGCTGGTAGACACCACACAGGGTGGAAATCAAAGGCGCTGCCGCCGCATCCAGACCGCAGCCGCAAAAAGAGTGGAAAGCTTGTGAACATCAATAGGATCGCGATACATGCGGGCGAGCGGCCGGCCGACGGAAAAACGGGGGTACTGTACCCCGCCCGGCCGATCTACCCCGTGGCACGTCAACGATCACCCCCACCGCGGCCCCCTTAAGTATTTACACCAAAAGGAAGCATGTGATAGCCAACGACATCAAGAGGGGTGAATTTACAGCCGTGCATGCCGAAGTTGTTAGGCGATTGACCTCGCATCCCTACAAAGCCCGGACGGAGCACGCCGGGAAATCACCCGACCAGGTTCTCACATTGCCAAGGAGGCGGGGGCGGACAAAACATTTCACCTGATGCGCTTGCTCTTCCCGAGCCCCTCCCCGCACAGCTCTCGGCCGCCTTCCAAGACGAACGCCCCCTGCCCGGACGCGGCGTAGTAGGTCTTGGGGGTTTCCTGTGCCGGCGCGTGGACGACTCCGAGGACCGGCTTCCCGTGAAAGCAAAGGCCGATCATCACCGCGAAATCCCCGGTGCGCTTGACGAACTCCTGCATTGAGCAGGGGGCACCGGCGGAGATGGGACGGAGTGTGCCAGCGAGGGAGGCAGAGAGGGCATCAGAAAACGGTATCACACCACGGAGCATGATCATGTGGGCGTAGATGTATGTTGGTGGCTATGTAGGCCTGTAGTTTACGGGAGATATGTTTTGGATCGTGTGATGTTCGCGGTGCAGAGGGAGGGAGGGAGGAGGGCAAGGAAGGGGGGAGACGCACCCATACAGAGAGAGGAGAGAGAGAGAGAGAGAGAGAGAGATACAGAGACAGAGAGACAGACAGACAGACAGACAGACAGACAGACAGACAGACAGACAGACAGACAGACAGAGACAGACAGAGACACAGAGACAGACAGAGACACAGAGACAGACAGAGAGACAGAGAAAAAAGTCGCCCGACGGCAGGCGGCACGGCCTCGGACACAGAGTCAAACGGCAACGACCACCCCTTCCCTGACACACTTGGACGCACCATACAACGAACCATCAACACGGCAGAGTAGGGACACAGACCCCGGAAATGACAAAAAAAAGGGAATAGGGGGAAACCTACCTTCGTTCCATCCAAAGGATCAACCACCCAACAATAGTCGTAGTCTCTTCGCTCTTCGTAGGGCAGTTTTTCGCTCTCCTCCGATATTCTGCGAACAACACGACACGTGGATTTTGTGTAAAAACACACGCGAAAAGCAAGCACACACGTGGGCGCGCATACGCTGTCCATAAAACAAAACAGGGGGGGGCGAGACAACGGCAGACGGCGAGATATGCGGCACCGAATAGTCGACGGCCTTGCAAAATCATACAGCCCGTGACCACCATGGCATGAGATAGTACATCAACCTTTTGTGCGACGACGACGACGCCGCGTATGTACGGTCCCCGCAGCAACATAATTTCTCATTTGTTGGAAAATGTGCCAGATCCAATCTAAAGACTGTCCACCCCGTTCGAGATATTGCCCCAATCGAAGGGGTGTATTGATTTCTTCATAGCAGCGCGTGTTGAGAAAATCTGCTGGATGCTGGGCTTCTGTTGAAGCCTACATGTATTCATTGAAGGATCAATACATGTTTCATTCACTGCAGGTGGTATGAATTTCATATCAATATAGCACATCCCGGCAAATTTTTTTTCGTTCTGATCCCGTCGCCCGAGGCCTCCTCACATCGGGATATCGGGGTACGCGCTGCGCAGCCTCGAACAGATGAGCTCGTCTGCCATGACGTCAGCTTTCGTTACCGGGGTGTCATCGGACTTGGAGCGGCTCTCCCACGTCTGACAGATCGTAGACAAGAGATTGTGCATGGCGTGCAGTATCCGGAGGAAAAGACGAGCCAACAGGACGAGTTTACACAGGTGTCTTGCAGAGGCGGCGTGGGCGTCATCATTCGTATGTACCAGATGTAAACCATCCTTTTGGTTCTCTGAGGGAGCGCACGAGTTCGCCTTGCTGCTGCGCAGAGTTCCAACGGTAGAAATCCTCTATCCTCGGCATTTTTGTGCCCGGAGCAACGAGCCCACAGCTGATTATTGTTCTGTGTGCTGGATCGACAGGCTTCCACAAGAACATGTTGCACATGAACAGGTTCGCCCCTCCTATAATACAAGGAACAGATGCTCCGGGATCCGTGATGTACAGAGTCGGTCTGATTAGAGCAGGCTTTACTGACTGGGTGCGTTTGAGCAAATCTTAGCTATAGGTCGGCAAGGGACATGCGGTAAGGTACAAGGTAAGCAGCACCATGATTGCAGAACAAGTCGGCAGGCAGCTCGCCCGGTGAGGAAAGGAGAGCGAAGAGAACGCATTGTATGTATCTCATCGACCAACATGTACTGCATGTACAGCGGTAGTACCGAGGTTAGGGTGCGTATTTCCAAACCGTGCACCAGCGGGCATACTGCTGTACACGCACCTCCGGATCTGTGGAGTAAACGCCCATGATCACGTCTCCGGCAGCGCGTGCAATGTCGACAACATCTTCAACCTTGACGGCCGGCAGCTCTCCATCGCGCTCGAGATGCATTTGCTAGTCCGGGTGGAATGCAGCTATATCTAGCATGATAGCATCGGGCAGCGGGCTAACCTGGCAAAAGCAAACCGCACCCCCCCCCAGCCCAAATTCTGCGAAGTCCCGCATTTAACAGTCCCGCGACTCGACCCGTTTCGCCGCGGCCCTCCGCTACCGGCACAGCGACACTTACCTGGCTTGGTGGCCTATGGCCCTCTTTCGGGCGCTGGAGAGAAGGAGGGCCGGCGTCCTAAGACAAAGATCTACTGCGGATAAATTGCGAACGTCCCGGGTGAGGTGAGGGAAATATTTGCTGTGGATAAAAGAGGTGGAACACCGCCCGAGTACGACGTCGGCTACAGCGGTGAGTCTCCTATTGTAGGCACTGGCGCCAAAGGAGATACAAGCACTCGCCATGAGACTTCGATGTTCCACACGCGTGTGCCGCTGCTGTCTACGCTAGGCGAGCGGGATTTTATAATTTGCGTAGCTGTTGCTTTCGTACGGAGTCAGTCCTCTGCGAAACAAATTTGTTCCCTTTTGCCCGCCCACCGCTCTTTCTCTCTCTGCCTCTCTCTCTGCCTCTCTCTCTCTGCCTCTCTCTCTGCAGCCAGCTAGACCTCGACATCAACGTAGAGATAAAGTCGCCGCATCACGGGCCTGTCACTTGGCTAGATGTCGACAGCGCTGAGGAACGATACCTTCTCACGGGTGAGCTTTAAATTTTGTTAAATGTACAGTTAATGTAACAAACACAGACAGACTGCTGTACATGTAGCCTCCTTTGTAATCATGATGGAAATGTCCTGTACAGCAGTAGAGGGTTCGGGCTCTTCGCGGCGTGTTTTCAGCTGCTGCTGTTGCTGTTGCTGTTGCTGTTGTGTGGTGGTGGTTGTTGTGTTTTTGTTGCTGCTAGTGCTGTGGTTGCTGGTGTCGCCAACACGATTATTGCTTGATGGCGCATGAAGGAGGTAACTGTACACGAGTTTGAAACATGCACGCAAGTTTCTCTGAACCCGCATCGAAGGTTCTTCGGCAGTTCTCTCCGGTGGAAGGACCTCCGACATGAAAAATATCATTGCGTGCTGTCAGCGCTGTTCCTGATCCCATCTGGACAATAGAAGTCGGTGTGGCCTGAGACCTTAAGGGAATTTATCATACTCGAAGCAAGTTCGTGGCATCAACGGAAGAGTGCTTACCCCCTCACACAAATCCACAAAGGCGGTGACACCATACTGTAGAAAACACATTAGTAGCATAACATCGAAAAACCACTGAGTATGCATCCCTTGTCTGGCGGGCAAAATTGTGAGATTCCAAACGTTTCGAAACATATTTTGGTCTCTTCTGGATCGGCGAAGAAAGCGACAACACCGCCAAACACGCGGCAGCCAGCCTCATCTCGCCAACCTTGTCATTCCGCGTGTGTGCTTACCTCGTGCTTGGCTGTGTCCGCCTCTGACGGTTACACGACAGGCGGTGCTGACTGCACGGTTGCGGTGTTTGATCTGGATGGAGCGGGCGAGAAAAGACCGTCGTTGGCTAGGTACGGGGCGTGGAACGTGGAACCCATACCGTGGAACTCATACCGCAGAAGGAATACCGTGGAACTCTTACCCTGGTAGAACTAGGCCTCCCGTCAGAGGCTCCGGGCCGTCTGGGTCGTACCGAGCAAGTTTTTTTTTTTATATGTGGATGGTCAGCGTCGAGCGGGCGGCCACGTTCCATCAATGCCGTATGTTGCATAGGAATCCATCCCCCCAACACCGATTGTTCAAGGTGGATTCGGCATTTATCTCGTCGTAACGTGATAGTGAGAGTCCCCCCTCGCCTCGACAAATGGCGAGTACCGGCTGGTGTTTTTTTCCGGTTCATGTTTCTATTCCCAACGTGCTGTCCGTAAGTAGCACGTGCTCAAACGCACATCTCATCGGGCCCTTTCCAATGATTCTGACCGACCGATCAAATGACCGGCGGCAACAACGCTGATGACTGATGCCCCGCGCTTCGACCTCGCCTTAGCGGTGACGACAACAACTCGGGGCCGAGAAGACATGGCCCCGCAGCGGAGACGGTAGCAGCCAGACGGCGGCGCCCGAAAGTGCTTCGCGAAGTAGGCCGCACCCCCAGGGTGCCGCTGTCGCAGAGCAGCGGCGGCGGCGGCGGCGGCTCGTACGGCGGGCACCGGCACAGCGTTTCTGTGGTCCAGTGGTGGGTGTTGGTGGGATTTCTCCTTTGGAGCTAATAGAGTGATAGGAGATTATTTCGCTGTTGTGAAGACGGAGAGAGGAAGGGGGGGGAGGGAGGGAGGGAGGGAGAGGGAGAGGGAGAGAGAGAGAGAGAGAGAGAGAGAGAGAGAGAGAGAGAGATTGAGAGAGAGAGAGAGAGAGAGAGAGAGAGAGAGAGGGAGACAGAGAGACAGACAGAGACAGACAGAGAGACAGACAGACAAAGATAGAGAGAGAGGCTAACAGACACAAAGAGACAGACCTGCGCTTGGTGTCCATCCGAACGAACGCGTCGATTGAGCCCGTGGCAGAAATAGCCGTGCTGTGGGTGCAACCTGATCGAACTATTATTGCTTCTCAAAGACCGGGGTAAACGTCGTGGCTTTTTGCTACGAAAGCCTTGAACGCTGCCTGCATTGCTGTCGCAAGACAGTGTCGCCGTCAATAAATCGCTACCACGGTTGTTCGTGTGTCAGAGGTGCTGGGCCTGGCTTGGCCCAGTTAACCATGCACGACCTCCCATATTGAGGTTGTTCAATACCAGGCACACCACTTCCACCACCACTACCACCACCACCACCACCAACAACAACAACAGCAACTGGTGACCCACTTACCCCATGGTCTGAAACTCTCTGAAAGGTACCCGGTGGACACCGGCCTGTTCGTGTCCGGAGCGATGGACGGTGTCGTAAAGGTGTGGGATACCAACACTCTCGGCGTCGTTCTGGAGTTCGACTTCAAGGATAAGGTGCGCGAGCGATGAGACTACCTACCTACGGTGACGTGACATACCACACCCCCTGGACCGATTCTCAAAACGCGATGTGTTGTTGTCGTCACAGTAAGAAACCGTTCCGATCTCTCTGCACAGCAGTACCTTCATCTGTCGGTACTATTATAGTCTCAACACTTGACGTGGTCGACTCCCGGGGTCACAGGCAAACATGCTCTATAAGAGGCCTACCCAAAAACAATGGGCCCGAAGGATAAATTATGTATTTAGGTGCAATTTAACATCGGGGGTCATGAACATCTCTTGAACAGGTCTACTCCGCATCGATGTCGCCCACCACCGGTCAGCACCACCTCATCGCCGTTGGGAGCGATAGTCCCCAGGCGCGCTTGTGCGACATCCGCTCGGGCGCCTTTGCGCACGCTCTGTCTGGGCACTCGGAAGCGGTTTCGGCTTGCGCTTGGTCCCCGAGGTCGGAGTTTCTTCTGGCTACGGGGTCGGCCGATCAAACGGTAGGCGATGATTTTCCCGCGTACTTTTATTGTTGGTGGTGATGGTGCTAGTGTTGTTGTTGTTGTTGTTGTTGTTGTTGTTGTTTGTTGTTGTTGTTGTTTTTACTGCTGTGTTGCTGTTGGTGGCGGTGGTGGTGGTGGTGGTAGTCGCTGTCCTTCCTCCTTGCCGTTGCCGGCACTCATACCCCAGTCTTGGTGAAGGTACCGTGGGTTACATACAGATTTTCACCTTGGCCTGATGAAGGATTACTGTCGTTGTTATCATGATCGTCGTGTTCGCTGTTGCTACTGTCATCACGGCCTTAACAATTCTCGTCAGCTGAAGGTCCATCCACGAACAAATCCTCAATCCACAAATACATGTTTCCTTTTTTCTGTTATTTCATAAATTTACGTAGGTGCGGCTTTGGGACATCCGTCGCTCAGGAGCCTCGGCGTGCCTCATCAGCCTGGATCAGCACCAGGAGGACGACGAAGAGGAACAAGACGAGGAAGAGGATGACCACACCGTTCGTTGCGGTTCGGGCGTGGGGGGGTCGGCGGATGGGAGTGACGACGGACGGGGCTCGGGCGTGCGCGGGAGCGGAAAGCGGAAAAGGGGCTACTTGAAGCACATCAAGCTCGCGTGAGTTGTGCGGCTTGTTGTTGTTGTTATTGTTGTTGTTATTGTTGTGGTTGTCGTTGTTGTTGTTGTTGTTGTTGTTGTTATCTTTTGCACAGTGTCGTCACCTCCTGCGGCGAACACCTGTCTGTAACCATGTCCCTAAGATATGCAATGCTCGTGCACGTGTGTCTGGTTTAAGAACGCGGGCCGGTATACTCCACCCGTATGCTGACAGGGGGCAGCACTGTTGGATTGTCCGGCAGAGTAAGAACCAAGACGTCCTTATGATTGATTCTGGGGGGAGTTTGATGCGCAAGCAAGTCTTGTTCATCCAGACTGCGGGGACGATGTAGAAAATTTGCAGAGTGCGTATGTATCGTCCATCCCACAAGACAATGTTGCTGTTGCTGTTGCTGTCCTTGTTGTTGTTAGTGGTGTTAGTGTTGTCTTCACATCAAAAACCGTTCCGATATCCTGTACCTCGATTTTGTCCGTACTGATCTCACACGAACAACATTTATTTGATACTTTTTGTGTTTTCTGTTTGGCTTGCACCACTTGCTGCCCGGATGCATGCAGGCCACACGCGAGCAGGGCGTCCAAGTTTGCCCGCGCCCACGCCGGTCCGGTTAACTCGCTCTGCTTTGCCCCCGAAGGGCTTCATCTCCTCACTGCGGGGACAGACAACAGGTAGGCGCTGACGAGGAAAGGACCACCATTTGAGTGTTCGACGTTCACGCAAGTATATTTGTAAGAACGTGGGAAAAATGATAATGTAATGTTGCAACCCCCCCGGAGTGATGTATGTCTTCGTGGGTTGAGGGTGGAAGAGAGACGCGCACGCGCATGGTGGGCGAAGCCAGCCCGGTTGCTGATTTGATTAACGCCCTTGTTCAGTACGTCCGTACTCTCCCCCCCCCCCGTAGCCTGGGCTGGCGAAAATCCGGGGTATCGCTCCGTCCCGGCATTGTATTGTAGGGATGCGAGGTCATTGGTATCATGACTTCGGCATGCATTTACATGAGTACTGTAAGAGGCGGAGGGAGAGATGGCACCCCCCCCTGGGCCGATTTTCGCAGCTCGACTGCTTCACGACCAAGATTGTGTCAACACCAAAAATGGCAGTTTTGAAGCATCTCGTCGATGGCTTTCCATAGACGTATCGGGATCTCTCAGCACCTACTAAATCAATCGAGCTTGCAAAGTCGGTCTAGGGGGGGGTGCCACCTCTCCGCCTCTTACGGAATACCACGGTACGGAATACCACGGTACGGTACAGACAATCTTGGTTGTGGAGCAATCGAGCCTTGAAAGTTGGTCTAGGGGAGGGTGCCATCTATCCGCCTCTTACGGTAGTCATCAACGGGGACTCCCTGGGGTATACGATACACCCCTCCCCCCCCGAGACTGGGCTACCTTGCGCTAGCATCACCCGTTAAACTAGAGTTGTTGATTTCTATGACCAGCTACAAAGGTCTTGCGTCAGCTTTCTTTCTCCATCTCTGACATAGCTGCTGCAGTAGTTAACCCCTAGACCAGCAACAAGGTCTTGGGTCAACTTTATTCTCCTCTGACGAAGCTGCTGCACCGCGTTACCCCCCGCCCTCCTCCCCCCCACGTGTTTTTTTTTTAGGTTGCGGCTGTGGGAGGTAGAGACGGGGCGCAACACCATGACTAACTACCTCCAGACGAAGAACAAGCGGAGAAGGCCCTTCGGCATGGCCGTCGGGAGGCCGGCGGGTCGTCGGTCCGAAACGGTGAGGCCCTAAGGCCTCCAGTGTCGCGGATGGTTACACCCATGTACCGTAAGAGGCGGAGGGATGGCACCAGGGTTCAAAGCTCGATTGCTTCACAACCAAGATTGTCTGTACCGTACCGTATACCGTACCGTGGTATTCCGTAAGAGGGGGAGGGATGGAACCCCCCCTAGACCGGCTTTCAAAGCTCGATTGCTTCACAGCCAAGATTGTCTGTACCGTACCGTACACCGTACCGTGGTATTCCGTAAGAGACGGAGGGATGGAACCCCCCCGAGACCGGCTTTCAAAGCTCGACTGCTTCACAGGCAAGATTGTGCCACCACAACAAAAAATGGCAATCTTGGAATCATATGGTCGAGGGCGCTCCGCAGACGTGTCGGGCTCTTTTCGCACGCACCTGGTTGTGGAGCAATCGAGCTTCGAAAATCGGGGTAGGGGGGGGTGCCATCTCTCCGCCTCTTACGGAATGTTCGCGTTGATGATATGAACCCCCAGCACTGCTTGCCCGCAGTATCAAACAATCATCAATCAGTTACGGGGCTTCCGCTTGTAGGCCTATGCCTGGGAATGTTGAGTCCAAGCATAACAACTTCATAAGCATCGTCTCCTTTGTTGGTACGTACGTTTGGCGTACTACTTGAGTCGTGATGGCGATCTACGGAGTCTCTTGGTGTGCAATAGTGAGAATGTGTGGTACTTCGACCCCCCTCGTTACTCCGAATGGCATTGTCACTTCTCTCTCTCTTTCTCTGTTCTTTGGGCGCGGCTAAAAGCACGGGTGAGGTTGGACACGCGCGTAGCAGCACTACGTATCGAGGGCCATCCATCCCACCGCCGCTTTACTCCCCACGCTCTCTGTCTCGGCACGAGCATGATTGTCATCTCCCCAACACCAACCGGTCTACTCCGCTTGCCGGCTGGTTAGTTACTCGGCTTCCTTTTTTGTTCCCGCTCGCAGGTGTTTTTCCCGAATGACAAGAGCGGGGACGTCCTCGTATTCCCGCTTCACACTCCGGATGGACGCCCGAAGGGGTGAGAACGCCTCTTTGCATTTTTTGGCTGAGAGAGAGTTGCCAACGAAACGGTCGTCTCCTACATATTTTGCAGCTAGCTCCCGCGCTTAGGAAGCTCTAATTTTTGGGCGAGGCTGGGGTTCTCATTAGTAGTTCATCTTGTGGGCTACATACAAATGACAGCAATACCGGTTTTTCTGTATTGCTTTTCAACAAATTACGTACTACGCATTGTGACAGAATTTCTTTTTATCCTATGCATACTTCTACTTGCGCTTTCTCAGCTTCAGCAAGTTCTTTTTGGCTGTGCTGCGTGCGCATCAAGCATCTCTCGTTCTTGCGAATGGGAAACGCGTATCGCGTCCGTATTAACCCTAACCCTAAACTTGAGAACCTCTTCAAGATGTGCCCGAGGCTGGGGTTCTTGGTGCAGTAGTTCCTGGGGTCATGCTACGAATGGCTGTTAGATAGGTTTTAGTGTAGGAGTTCTTGACCGAGCTCACAGACGGTGCTCAAGTTCTTAGATTTTGAGTTTTTCGAGGTTATATCAATCTCTTCACTAACAAGTTCTCAACTTCGTCCGCTTGCCGTATTTCCCGGCGAGCAAGTTGCTTAATATGGCCCGCTTTTGATAGCTGGGAGAAACTGACGCCTGCTGTCTGTTGGCTGGGAGAAATTTGCACAGAATGGCTGCCTCTTCCCTATTGTCTATATAGAAGAAATTTGCGCCAAACGGCCGCCTGCAGGCCGGTACATTGCACATTATTGGCGCCTCCTTGCTGCAGGCACGCGATGGTGGTGCGGGTGGCGCCTTGTTTGAACTAGCTGTCCCGGACGGGGAGCAGCTTTTAGAACTGCCTCTTTTTTGCTGTTCGGGAGAATCTCCTACTGAAACGGTTACTCAATGAAGATAAGTTGACTTCGCATCTAGGGTCAACTTCTTGTTTCGTCGCCACTGTTGAGCACAGGTTGCTGTTGTTGGAATTTACTGTGAGTACCACCGCTGGCCCGTGTTGGGGATAAACTCAATTGCTGGGGTCCATGTACTATTTTCAAGTGCTGTATCATGTCAAACTAGTCTCTGATTTTGTCGTGATAATTGTAGCCTCTTTTTCTTGAACAGGAGTATGAGTGCGGGCGCGAAGTGTAGTAGCGTTTCTTTTTCTCATTGTTTCAACGCCAACATCTTGAAATTCTGGAGAGCGACCAAGATTGTCACCTACGGGGACGGAATATCTGTCCACATTCCCGCCGTAAACCCTCCCCCTCCTTAGCATCGAATTCCACCTTACTTGCGCTTCTTGTTCTCACGGGCGTCAACCTTGGCACCCCGTATTCTCGACCGCTAACCCCAGGACGTTGTCTGTTCTCACGACCTTAATGCAGAATGTCTTCATGCAGAATGTCTTAATATATCCGCTCCCCCACCAGGAAGGAACGATTGACCATCGGTGATCGGTCCCGTGGGAACAATGCTCAGTCCTCTCGAGGACGCGTGGTTAATGGTCTTACCACTATTCATGCACGGCTGTGAGTACCCCCCCCCCCCACACACACACACACACACACACACAGGAAGCTGCGGGGCCACTTTGATCCGGTGCAGTGCTGCGCTTACCGACCCCGAACACAGGAGGTGGTCACGTGTGGGGCCGACGGCCTTGTGCTCCTCTGGTCCGCCGCGGGGCCCCCGTGGGCGTCTCGGGCGTCATACCTACCCCCCCCCCTTGCGGCCGGCGCTGGCGGCACGAAGCGGAGGCTGGGCGAATCCACGGAGGACCAAGACATGTGGAGCAGCGACGACGAGGGAGGGGACGGGAGCCGAACGTCCCCGGCTTTCGATTCGCTAGAAGGCGTTGGGAATAGTACTATTAGCAGTGGTACCGGTAGAAGTGGTAGTCGGAGAGGGGGTCGTAGTCCCGGAGGTAGTGGCGGAGCGTTCGTTCCAAGAATTTTGACGCAGCCCAGGCGAGCAGGCCCGGGAGTTCGAGGGCGGTAGGTTGGAGGATCAGATGATGCTACGGTAGGGGGGTGCACTTTTGGGGTGGCATGTTACTCTTTTGGGAGGAAATTTGTAGCCCTGTTTCGGCGATCCTGCATCGAAACGCTGCAACCAACAGGTTTGACGAAGAGTGCGTCTCCCTACCCGAAAGTGATAGATAGGTGACCCCCATGCCGCCGTAGCATCATCAGTCTGTTGCGTGCTCCGAGCAACGGCTCGCGGTTCTTTCGCGGGCACACGCGACTTGGAATTGTTTTCTTGTTTTTTTTGTTTTTTTGTTCTTCACTTCAAATCAGCGCTCACAGCACAAGTGCCGTTTATTCCAACCCGTGGTCACACAGAAGAGCCTCTCTCTACCCTCCCCTCCTGCGGTACTTCGCCTTCAATTTTTAATGCGAGAAGAGTTCAGCACTCTCTTCCCTTTGTGTACACACGAACTAGCGCTATCCACTTGGCCACGAGCGGAAGCGAGAGAAAAACTCACTTTGCAAGAAAAGCTCGCCTACGCCGGGATCCGAACCCCTGACCTGACCTCTAGAAGGTTACGAGGCTACCAACTAGACCACCGGGGCGACCGGCCTTGGAGCTATGCGAAACAAGCCACGAGTGATGCGTGCAATATTGTTGGAGCACAGCGAAACCAAGCCTTATCTTGTCGCAAACGCAAGTCGTTTAGCGCGTGGGTGATTTCGCCCGCTAGCGTTTATACTTGAACGTGTAAATATGCGCATTCTGTAGAAATGAGGTGGTCAGCAAAAACTGCCAACCGTTGGGACATACCTCCACGGTATGTCGTTTTGGGGAGTTCTTGGAGATTGAATACGGCATCACAGCCCTGAGGCACAGGCATTCACGTTGCTCCGTGTTTTGGTGTCGACTAGTTGACTTTCTTCGCTGGCTTCGCTGAGGTTGCGATTGATTCTTATAGTCAGTCTTAGACATGAGGGTGAGGGAAGAGAGTATACCTGCACTCTTGTCGCGTAACCACGCAAGCCCCGCAGGAGGGGGGTGGGGAGAGAGAGGGCCTCAGAGAGAGGAAACGGTCTGCGCGACCACGATTGGAGCTCCTGCTACCGCTGTACCTGGCAAAAAGGGAAACGAACACGACGAGGCAAGAGAAAAGTAAAAGGAAACGCGACACAACAGGGTATACCCTGGTACAAGAAGAGCGACTCAGCTGGGTGCATAGTATTCCACTGCGGACATATTATGAAGGTACTGGGTAGAGAGAGATCGGAACGGTTTTAAATGTGAAGACAACAACAACAACAACAACAACAACAACAACAACAACAACAACAACAACAACAACAACGTGGAATGAGCCAAGCTGATTGCTCAAAAGCCCACGTTTTTCACCCTGCCGCACTCAATTATAACCAGAACGGATTTTCTGCCCTGCCAAACAACGCCAACATTCAACTCCTACTTCTCCCTCCTCCCCAGCTCTGAATAATGAAACATGTTTCAATCCACATACTGAAAAGACTTCACCACATCATCCCTTTCGACTGAGGTTATACAAGCTGGGCCAGCCAAGAAGCTCACTTTCGTTGTTTCGCGTCTCATGCTGTCGTTTCCACGAAATTAGGCTTGAAGTTTGGTAGTTACTCTTGTGAGACATAAGGAAAAACGCAGATAGATGCCACAGTTGTTCGAATCCGAGTTGATTTAGTTAGGTATTAAACGATCAATTAGAGGCGTAGTGGGGGGTACTTTCGGTATCAGCATGAAAAAAGTTTCACAGAATAAGCTGAAATTTGGTGTGCGCTTACCTGGGAGCATTGCGAGAAAAATTATGGTAGTTGCAAGGCTCACATAATCTTCCATCAAGAGTTACGGCCTCGAAAAATCCGATACAAAACACAAGATAGTTCAGAACATGTATGTGAGGTTATCGCAAAATACATCACGATTTTTAAGAGTTGGAATCTGAAATTTTGACATGTGGTTGGTATTGTTAATTGTTAATAGGGCTACCTCATGAAAAAAACGCCAAATATATAAAGACGGCTAGCAGTTGTATTTGTTGTATTTGTTGTACTACATGTCAAAATTCAGGTTCCAACTCGTAAAAATAGTGGTGTAATTGGCTTTCAACCATTTTGTTAGCTTCTTGGCTGGCCCAGCTTGTATCTCGAGGTTTTGTGTATTTTCTAAAAAGAAACAGACACACCGCAGACAGAATCAAGACACACACCACCAACACGATCACAAGTGAACAAGCACAATCAGTCCCAGGGCCACCAGCAACAGCGAAGGCATGTCATCCATCGTGGGGGGTTGATGCAATGAATGGTGCAACCACGGAGGAAGGGGGGATCACCAGCGAAGGAGCTCAATTCGAACTGCATGTCGCTTCACGCGGTCTGCTTCTTCTCGAACAAACACAAGGAGGAAAAAAAAAAAAAAGAGGCCACCGACATGACGGCTGCAGCGGTCGAAGGGGATGACAAGAGCACGCACCCACCACGGTCTGGAGCAGATCTGGCGGCGGACCAAGTTGGGCGGAACTGCAAAACTGAAGAAAAAACTGGATATGTTCGTTATTGTTTTTTTTTTTTTCTTAATATGACACAACGAAACCATCTCTATCATAGAAAAGAGTCTGAGACAGATTAGCAATGGATTCATAGCGTCAGAAAGTACCTGTATGTCTACGATTTCCCAGACAGCATATAGGGACATCTCCCCTGCGGGTAACAGGCTCAACAAGACAGTTTGGTAGCTGTCTTGTGTGTCTCATATATGTTATGTTGGGAAGGTGCAGATGATATGTGTTAGGTACTGGTCGGGCGTTTTGTGTGTGACACCCTATTAAACGTATTTTCAATGTGGTACGCGTATGTACCAGGTATTTGGGTTGTGTATGTGTGGATACATTTCGGAGTATGTGCGGACAATATATTTATTTGCAGAAAGAGATTTGGATTCTTCGTTCAGTTTCTTCACGCGTATTTTTTCGTGGCATTCAGCGTGCGGTATACAGGACCTGGACCCAGGACATATATGAAGGAGAGGAAGCAGTAGAGTCTCTGAGAAAGATTGGGTCACCAGGGGAAGGTAAGGGAAGAGAGACGTGCGTGTCTCGACCATCGTCCATAATGAGTGACTGCTGACGATGGCAGAGTGTCAGAGTGTACAGTCCCGAGCTCTAATCACGCCGCATCGCCTGATACCTGATACAGGATTACACCGCATCACGCCATATCTCAGCTGCTCACACGACGCGGCATCATTACACCTCAACAGCTACAGCAACATAGCCAGCGAAAGCTGGAGTAGCAATGAAAGCACCACAACCAACACGTATGTGCACCAAACAGCGATGGCATCGTCGCTCGCCCCTCAGACCGCTCAAAAGAAAGAAATTGAGAAAAAATGGGAGCCAGCAAGAGCCAGAGTGACACGCCCACCCGCGCGGAGGAACAAAACACACACATGAAAATAAAAAAATGAGCAAGCACGGCATCCCTAACGCCACTGTTGCCTTGCACTCTTATTACACGCCGCTTGACACCATACTCACTCATCACGCATGCCCGCCCGATGGGCATCACGCATAAGCTTGGGTTGGGAGAAAACGAGCTCCCTTGGGGTGTTCTCGCGTGACCGGCTTGGTGCCCCTCAGAGGGGAGAAAGAACGGGCGTGCTATTGCTGAAGTGGCAGCAACGACAGCAGCAGTTCCGAAGGAGAAAGATCCACCCGCCTGTGTGGGCACCACCACCGACAGCAGGCGAGTGGTGCCACAGTTACCTGGGGGCGGAGAGCCCGGGGCAAATATGATGCACAGCAGCGATAGCTTTTCCTGCAGCGATGGCGTGAACGGCGGCGGAGGCGTGCCACCCTTCTTACGGGCCTACGCGACCAGGCGGGGCTACAGCCCGATCGGAAGAAGGAGGAGACATGACGAGCGACCGGTAGGAGTTGTGGGGGTCAGGGGGATGGTCAGGGGGATGTTCAGCTGGAAGAGGGCCGTGGGCGCAGCCGCTGTGTTTGTGGTGTTCATTGCCGCTGTCTCGACCTCGAACTCTTGGCGCATGGCCGGTGGGAGCCCTGGTGCCGGCCAGCATCTGCAGGACAGCGGAAGCAACTCGTACCGTGGAATCTTCGAAGCCTTCGAGGTGGAGTATGATGTGTCGGCAGCTGTATGCATTCAAAATTGTCCGCCCCTGTATGTAGAAACGGGCGATGTCGTCCGTTTGGCCATCGAAGTGCATCACCAACCCGGTTGCCACGTCTGCCAGCAACCGATGTGTTGGAAGATTGCATCGTCTGCTGTGTTCCTTTCTATCCGATGGGTGCTGTGAACGCGAGCATGGCTGGCTGTTTTCGAGATAAGACTTACGAACGACTGCTGTCGTACGTTCTGCCTGAGTACTTCCCGCTTGTGTTTGTTGCGGTTGCGGTTTGCAGACACATCAAGCGCGCCTTTACGCGCCGGGATGTGATCTCCCGGGTAGGTAAGAGTTGCCGCTCGACCTCTATCCTTTATAACTTTTTTCGTTAGGTCGACGGAGAAGCCGTGCTTGTTGCAACCATCGCACGTATGCAATGACCAGTCAGCCCACCCCGTACAGCAGTAAGCATGCTTTAGACTTTTACCCATCAATACTTGTACATGTACAGCCCGTAGATGCCGTCTGTAGAATCTCGGATAAAACTATCCAATATCCAATGTGGTACCGTATACCGGCGCCACAAAAGATCGGACGAACACACACACAGCAGTATTGTCGTTGGGCAACCGGTTGGTGCGGTCGATGCTAACAACGAAGAACATGCCGTCCTCCAGTCTAGGGTAAACCCTCCTCCAGTATTTATTGTACCCACTCCAGTTGTAAGCGTGCTCCATTTGGACTCATGACCGTCGTCGGTAAAATCCACACCTGAGGTTTAGCATCATCCTCACATGTCGTCTGCTCACCAACATCGCCTCAACAGCAGTCACGTTGAACCTCAAGAACTCTTCTTACGTTTCAATACCCGGGAGATTGTCACACGGCTTGAGCGCGGCGCGCAGGAATGTGGAGGTACATCGCACAAGCGCACCACGACTGTTTGCCGTTTCCAGCAGTTAATTTTTCTCCACACTCGCTGCTTAACAAAGACTTTATTGAACACATCCCTGCGATTGGAGTATTCTCTCGAAAAGGTGTGGTACAGCAGTACAGCAGCAGTGGTCCCGGTGTAATGCGGGTGCGATCCAGCCGATTTCACCGGCATCATTACAGCGGGCAACCGGCATTATTCAGAGTTTTGAAACATGTTGAATATTCCATCTGAGCCAGATGATTGCCCCGGCAGTACCCCAGGCGACCGGCATTCTTCCAGGACCACTGCTGCGGTAGCCTTTTTTTTTTGTACAGTCGTGGTCCCGGTTTAGCGGTTCCCTGTTCAGCGGGATGCCCTGAATAGCGGTCCCAAAATCTCGTGGCAAGGCTGCACCTCGGTACTCAAACTGCAGTATAACTGCCAATCCGGTTTAGCGGCGATGCGACACGGACGCCTTCCGTAGCCACAGCAGTGTCACAGGCCACCTAAATTGCGTCTTCATACTGTACAGTCTAAGCCACCCGTGAACAAACAAATGAATGTACTAAACATGAGACGTTTCTCCCGTTTGATCCCGGCTTATACACGGTGTGTAGACAAGCGCCAGGATAACTGGATGGAATTTTAGCCGATAAGCACCCCGTGCCAGCCGTGCGCCTAATCCCGTAGCTCTTGCCGTAGTGCGAAGAACGACCTATCCACTCTTATCAATCTGTCGAGAGGCGATGGATAACATGCCCACCAACCTTGCGACCACAAAACGAAAAGACGGGTGCAGGAGTTCGGGGCATTGACGATCCTCGCACTGCTGTTGCCGAGGCAACTACGACCAAGTAATAGGCATTCCTCAACCGCCGGCCCGCTGGTTGGGGAACTGCACGACGCACAACAGCAGCACTCGTTGGTCGCTTTGGTTGGAGAGAAAGGGAAGGAGACGTGACTATCGGTGCGCTCGAATACCCCGCATTCGGTGACAACCCGGCGTACTCCGTCCCGGCTTCGTAGGGATGCGAGGTCATTTGTCTAACGACTACGGCATGCACGGCTGGCTCCCCCTCCCTCTTTCAAATTCGCGCCTCATCGGCTAAAATACTCTCCTTTTCGTTCCACAGCAAAGATATTCCGGCTCCCCTGCGGGCGGCGGCGGCGGCCGGGGGGAGGAGGGGCCCGGCAGGCTGGAGCTCAGGGCCACCAACGAGTACGGGGAATACGACCGCGGGGCTCTGGCGCTTTACGGGCTGGAGATGGTGGTGGAGCCCCACCGGGCGACCAGAATAACGGTCTCCAGCAGCCGACCCCGCCGCCTCCCGCCATCGGAGAACTCGGAGGTCTCGGAGGTCTCGGAGATCTCGGAGATCTCGGAGAAATCTCCGTCGCCGCCGTCGTCGTCGTCGTCGTCGTCGAGGCGCTACTACTGGTTGCTGGTGCGGGCGGACCGATCGGGGGCCCCGCTGGATGGCGTGACCCCCCTGGTGGACACGAAGGCGGCGGGCCCCCTGGCGACCGTTACGCTCACGGACGCGGGCGAGAAGTACGCCCTGCTGGTGCAGCAGGTAGAGGCCGGCGGGGCCCTGATAGCGGAGGCACGGGTCACGATCACGTGCAAGTACGTGCGACGGGAGCTGAGGAGCCTGACGGGGGAGGACCGAACCGGGTTCTTCGCGGCCATGCGGGAGTTCTACACGGTCTCGCTGGAGGAGGGAAGGGGCAAGTATGGGGAAGGGTTCTCCAACGCAAAGCACGTGGCCGCGTACCACAACAGCCCGGTGAGGGTTCTGAAGGAGGAGGGCGGAGGCAGGCAGCAGCAGTACGCGTTGGGGGGAGGGTGAAGGCAGAGCAGAGTTTAAAATATGTGTGTCTGCATTGATGCGAAAGAGGCACATGTGTAGGCGGGGGGGGGGGAGGGTAAGGTGGAGATGAAGAGTGAAAGGGTCCCATCTTCCCGACGTCCTTTGGGGAGGAATCCCATCTGAACAAATAGCTTTGGTTTGTAAACATGACTGCTGTGCACAGCTATTCTTATTGTTTTTATTCGGTGGTGGTTCGTTGGGGTGTTATCGCCATAACACTTCAGCTGTATGAGTGAGCTGCTCGAGCTTGGAAAGCGCCAAGACTGGTGGCCAGCTTGTCTATTTAAGTAGAAAAATCGGCACCTACCGTCGAACATTGTGTTTTTCTACATATAAAGGAGTCAGAATGGGCCACCATTAACCCTAACCCTAACCCTAACCCCAAGTCAGAATGGGCAAAGGTCGTCCGTGGCATTTGTTTCTATCTTCATCGTACCACTCAATGCAGGACGGAAATATTGTAGTGTTTTGCCTCACTTGAAAAGCACACAAGAGGAGGTAGTGGATGCAGGCATCGAACCGTGCTTTTTCGTGAAGACGACAGCATCAACAACTTGTCAGAGTCAGTTATTTTTTGTTTTTTGTATCTTGTCTGCATCTGTCTGCCTCTCATGTCTGGTGTGTCTCACCCAGGACTACTGCTTCCACAACGGGATGCACTTCCTGAACGCTCACGCCGCCTTCGACCTTTGGGTCGAGAAAAACCTTCAGAAGATCGACCCCAAGGTGTCGCTACCCCAATGGGACTACATGCTGGACTCCGCCCTCCTCGGGACCGGGTGAGTTGGTCTTCACGGATTCCACACAAGATAGCACACATACACGCCCGCGTTAGACACCACCCAAACGCGTCGCTCGCCCAATTGGATTGCATTTGACGCCGCCCAACTCGGGACCGGTTGAGTTGGTCTTACCGTATTCCACACAAGACAACACACCCAATTAGGATAAAAGTGTCGCTCCCTCAATGGGACTACATGCTGGACGCGGCCCATCTCGGGACGGGGTGAGTTGGGCTACTGTATTCCACACAAGATGTCACAGCACAAGCCTACCCAAAAATGTCGCCCTCCCAATAAAACATTACTTGACACCTCTTGCGTGGCGTTCCTCTCGTGGGACCCCGGTGGGGACGTCAAACATACACACTGAGAGGTGTGAAAAAGGCTGTCGTTCAACATAAATGGGACGGTAATTTACGCACGCAAGGACGCCCACAACACCTAAAGTCCGCGATTTCAATCCCTCGACCCATCTGTGCAGGTGGCCATCCAGCGAAATCTTCAGCCCGGACATGTTCGGATCGGCGTTGGGATCTCCGGAGAACCAGTTCCAGATCTCCGACGGCTGGTTCTCCAACATCACGTCCTTGTACGACCCGCGGGGTGGCATCCTGACCCCCGCGGAATCGTTCATCACAACGAGCCATAACTCGTACGGTTTCGTGGACGGCATTTACAATTTCCAGGTAAGGTAGTGGTTCATGATCGTGTCGAGAAAAAGCCGGCAACACTCTCTCAATATGTATGTTTCTCTTAAAACCATGCTGGTAACTGTGTGTAGTATGTTTGACCACCGTCGAGAGAGTGTTCAGAAAGTAGCAGCAACAGTTTAAGACTGCTTGAGAGAGTAGGGCAATATAAAGAAAGGAAAAGTGGCTTGTCCCGCCCATGAGAAGAGCGTCGCGAGGGTGTTAAGCTTGGTTTTTGTAGGGGGTTGGGCTATAGGGTTAGGGATAGGAACACGAAGTCCCCCTCTCTGTTTCATGGACTAAGAGGGGAATTACTTCTCCCTATCCACAACCCTATCCCCCAAGCCCCTACTGTTATAAAACCAAGATGGACGTTATCGCGAAGGCTACCGAGTAAACCTCTCATGAGCGGCACAAGCCTCTTTCCCCTTCTTTTTTCCCTACTCTGTCTCAAGGAGTCTCTCCTACACTGTAACCGCTAATGTTCTGGGCGCAAAAACATGGAATTTCGTTGAGCCTTCCCGGGTGTCGGCGGGCTGGCAAGGGTTACCGCGGGGAAGATACGTTCCGATTTGAAGAATTGTCCGTGGTCTGGAGAAGGGCTGCTACAGTACTGCGGCGGTCCGAAGTATTCCGGTTTCAACACAACAGTGGTACTACTAGTACTCCGACATGGCGGCATTCCCTCGACAACAATAACACGAACAACAGCGACAATGACGACGACGACAACCACAACAACAACAACAACCGCATCAACAAGTGCAGGCACACATTTTTCGCACAGCTAATGACCTGACTATCATTAGCCGAGGAGATGCTCATGACGAAGAAAACGATGTCGGCGGTGTGCTTGGGTTTCCGACAGGCGCTCCCGGGAGTAATTCGCACGAACTCATACTGCGGGCTTGAGGGCATGGCCGAGTTCACCAAGTGCGAAGTCTTCGTGGACTGCTTCGAGAGCAGTGGCACCTTCTACGCCTGGGCGTCCTGCATGGAACTCCAGGTAAATAAATATACTGTAGTAGTACCTCACGTGCGAGACTTGATACTACTGGGAGTGGACATTTTCAGGCTACGCGCCGCACGTACCGGGTATCTAATACTTCATAAGTATAGAGAAAACGCCCCTTCCTGCACTTACGTTTGTTGTCGTTTCTCGTGGACCGATGCGTTACAGGTACACGCCTCCATACACGGCATGATCGGAGGCGGGTTCGACTGCAATGTGAGTCTATATTGACTGCAACAGCCGTACTTGTTGTAGCGAATACTCTGTGCCGGGTGACAACGGTGGATCGGACGCCCACGACGGAAAGGGCACACCCGCTGTACGGAAATTTGCGCGCAAGCTCGCATCCTACGCGTCCAATAAACGCCAAGGGACCCTCAGTAGTCTTCACCCTCAGTAGTATTTATTCCAGATTTACTTGAGAATATAGTTCAAGGAAAGACTTTACCCCCGAGAGAACTCGTTTGAATATTCTGGAAAATCCCGCGGCTCCGTGTTGGGAACATTGCCCCCCCCTCCCCCCACCCCCTTCATCCTGCGCGACAACGAACAGATCGACATGGTCGAGTTCCACAAGGAGAATCCGCAGTATCACCACGGGCTCCTAACGTTTGTCCTCGAGTACCTGCTCGCCAACAAGTGGCCCTCCAACAGCTTGATGGGGGACTTGAACGAGTGCGCCGAGCAGTGCGATGTCGACCAGGGCGAGCCGTGCGGGTGCACGTGCCTCGTTGATCCTTTCGAGTGGACTGACGATGAGGTCAGCAGTGCTTTTTCAGGGATTTTGTTGTTGTTGTTGATGATGTTGTTGGTGGTGTTGTGGTGTTTGTGTTGCTGGTGTTGTTGTTGTTGTTGTTGTTGTTGTTGTTGTGGTTGCCGTCGTCGTCTTTGTCTAAATTTGGCATCACAAGACGTATATGGCCACCGAGTCACTCGATTGCCTTATTCGGCATGTGGACAATCACCAGCACCACCGGAGGATATGCCGATCAAAAAGTGCTATCCATTTCTCACGGTAGTGAAAAACATCACTTCCGCACGCCTTCCCCTTCTTCTTGCCCAGGTACCTAGAATCAACAGCTCACAGAACAGCAACCCCTCTCATGATCTACATAAGCTCTGACAGTTCTTGAGAACATTCCATTTGTGGCATTCGGGGGTATAATTCGGGAGAGTTGTGGTATATTTGGTAATTTTTATCTACGCCTACGTAGGAGCAAATTCCCCTGATACAACAACTAAGACTTATTTTACGGTAGGGAACACTCCGCTGCGTGTGTGCGTGCATCCACCCATGGTTGTGTCTCTCCAGGTGTACGACTTCATGGAGCACGTGTTGGTAAGACTGCGGGGAAGGGCCAAAGGAGTGTCGTACGTCGGCGAAGACGTTACCGCCAGGCACCCGCTCGGATTCATGCAGGTACGGCTCTGCCTGCTTTTTATCGCAGCAGCTTCCTCCGAGGATAGCAGAGTAAGGTTAACTCGGAACCTTTAGTTGCGAATAGTTGGCGAACAAGATGCTTCTCCCCTGTGGTGTAAACTAACCCCATCCTTCCCCTAAGCTGCCGCGACTCCCAATATTTTGTCCTACCCTCTCCCCCTGCGCTCTTGTCACTCTACGGCGACGCATGCCCCTTGGCTGCCGTGGCTCCCACTCATTCGCCCTCCCCTCCCTCGCCCGCTTGCATCCGTCCTCTCGCTCGGGAGAGTGGTCGACGGTCCCGTTAAGGCATGCCCAAACGTGAGTCCGCCCCTGTCCTGCTTGCACCCGTCCTTGCAGGAGGGCACGCGGCAGACGAAGATCCGATCATGCTGCTGCTGCTGCGGCAGATGATGGTGGTCAACCCTAACAATTCCATTCCGTCCCGTTCTCAGGAAGCAGAGCGGCTAGACGACGAGCCAACCATGCCGCTGCTGCCCCAATTGATGCTGATCAGGCCTAACACCTCTAGTACGACACCATTTACGTTCGCATTTTCACGGAGGAGAGCGGGTAGATACCACACGACCAGTCGGCCATGCTGCTGCTCCGCCAGGTTGTGGTGATCAACCCCAACAATCCCATTTCCGTTCCTGTTTTCAGGAAGGAGAGCGGCTAGACGAAGAGTCGACAATGCTGCTGCTGCGCCAGATGATGGCGATCGGGTGCCAGCCCGGGAAAGTCGGAGCGATGAGCACCGGCGCGGCCCCTCTGGACCCAATTTTCTGGACTCTTCACTCGGGGTTCGAGAAGGCACAGCACATCCTGCAGCTCTCACCGGGGTACCGAGACGCCTACGGCTTCGACTGGGTGGATGCGGATTGCGGCGACGGCGTCTCGGGAGGAAAGCTAGACGACGTGTACCCGTGGACAGGTGTGCTGCCCTCGTTTGGTTTGTAGTTTGTTGTTGTTGTCGTCTGTAGTGTGTTGCTGCTGTGGCTGGTGGTTGTTGTAGATTTCGTTTTACTGTGTGATGCTGAAACGGGCACGGTTTGTCAGCGGGGAGCCGCGGATTGTGACGAAGGCATCCCAAGATTCCAAGGGGCGAGGTTGCAGATAGCGCCGCAAGAGGAGCGAAAAGTGGCAAGAAGCAACAACCACTCCCAGTCCTTGCCTTCCTCCCACCGGTCTTGTGCGTTAGGAAACCTTCGCACGCGTTTACAATGTAAACGCCAAGAAATAATGTATTATGTAAATATATGACTTATTACGTATTACCCATTTTAGTGATGTATTACTTTTTTGGTATACCCAACTCTAGTTTACATGGAACCGCCTTCGCCCAATTAATTTGTTTATGAGGAAAAATAACAGGGAGGGGGACGCAGACCCTGTTCCCTAACCCTATCCCTATCCCTGACCCAACTTGCCCCATTGTATTCTTTATCCAGCATGTTTACATAACACGACAAACCCTTGCGAAGACTACTGTTTACATGAGTTCACCCCTGTCCAACTCCCGCCGTGTGCTGGTTGCTGTCTGCAGAGCGAACGCTCGGCCTCGGGGAAGGCTCCGAGCTCCTCACCAACGCAGAACTCACGGACATCCTCCACCCTTCCAACCCCAAGCTGCCCTACCTCTATGAAGCCTTCGAAAAGTGGGGCACCTGCACCGACTGGGACCCCTGTCCGGAGTGCAGCGACACCGCAGCCCTAACGCGACGGCGGCAGTGATTTTGTTCGACTTCCGTACATGTAATAGGTTTTGTTTTGCCTCAATGGCAGTTCGGTTGAGGCCGGTTTGTCAAAATGTACAGAAGCACTTTATGAAGAGGGTACCAAGCACAACAGCAACGCTGGGAAAAACGACCCCACCCTAATTGTAGGTGGTCGCCGTTACCAGCATGGAGCCCCCCCGGCATAGAACATAGCAGCGCGTGGAGACAAGGAGCGTGCCGCTGCTTCGCATGATATGCATGGTTTTTACGATTCTGGTACAACGTTTGATTTTTCACCTCCGGGTTGGCATTGCCGGCGAAACGAACGCCCACGATCATCGCTCGCGTTTGTCATATGCGAGGTGCACAGATGGTTCCTCGGGATACACACCTATAGTAGTATTATATTCGTTTGTTGTGTGACTCCCGTGATGAGGTGTTGGCGAAATAGTAGTTCATTTATTGAGTGATTGGAGCAACGAGCTCTCCGTCTACACGTTCAGTTTGTCTAGGGATTACGCTTTGCTCCTTGGAATTTTGGTTTTATGTTGTCTGGCGTCTTTATTGTTGTCTTGTCTTCGCACGTTGTTCGGGGTCTTGGCTTATGGCCACTGGAGTTCTTGACACCTCACGAGTAGGGAAAGTAAAAGCAAGTACGTAGGAGGAAGTTGTAGTTTTTTCTTGCATAGTTGTGGCCACGAAGTTGGTTCCGTTGGAGAGTTTGTAGGGAAGAACGGGAACTGGATAGGAGAAAGAAGCGGAACGCTTGTTCGTGTGTGTGCGTGGCGCGTACGCGTTTGGCCAAACGTTGTGCTTGTGTTTAGTTTCGTGAAATGCAGGCATGTCCCTGTCTGCATGGTGTCGACACTCACCCGCACAATCCTATACTTTCAAGTGGGCGGGGTGTGTTTCCGTTCGTGTTTGGCGCTGTCCTATCTGCCTCTCGGCGCTTACCAATTTATTTCCCCGCGTCATGGGATATAAAAGCCTGTCCGAACACTCAGAGATGGCATCGTTGCCGGTATGGTTGTTCGTCGTTTCGCGTCTACATGTCTGCACGTTGTGGCTGAATGGTGTGATACGTCTTCCGTCCCGACAAAAAGGCGCTCTTTGAACACCACACAGTGAGGGCGGAAGGATTTCCTTGCCGGTGGCCATCTCCTTCATTTCGCGTTGTTTGCGTTGGGCTGAAAGATGTGACGTCATGGGTTTGGTCAGACACGCCTTTTCGAACACCGCTACGAGAGGGCGCTGTTTCCGGTGCCCATCTCCCCCCGTTTTACGCCTTCGTGCGGTTGGATCATGCGATGTCATCGGTTTCCTTCTGAACAGTCTTTTTGGACACCTCTCAGAGGGCGGAAGGCGTCGTTGGCCTGTACTCGCTTCGCCGCTTCGCGTTTTTGCATGCGACTGAATGATACGGTCAGAAACACCTCTCCGAACACCACCATTCAGAGAGGGCAGAGGGGTGTGGTCATCTCCGTAATTTCCTGTCTGCATGTGTGCATGCGGCTGGATGATGCGATGCCATCGGTTTCGGTCTGGGAGCAGTCTTACCGAATAGCAGTACAACTCACAGAGGGCGGAAGGCGTCATTGTCGGCGTTAATGTCCGCCGTTTCGCGCTTGCATGAGGCTGGATGATGCGATCTCTATAATAGTCAGAAACACCTTTTCGAACACCACCACTCAAAAAGAGAGGAAGGCGTCATCGTTTACCGGTGCCCGTCTCACTTTGCGTTTGGAGATTGCATATGCAACTACGGCTGAATAATGAGAAGTCACAGGCTCCGTTTCTCTATTTTTGCTTCGGGAAACCGTTTCGGTTGGAAACAACTTGTCGGAAACCCACCACTCGAGAGAGGGGGGAACGCGTCGTTCGCTGATGATGTTCATTTCCTCGCCCTTGCATGCGGCTAGATCGTGCGCACGCGTGTTGGGTCGCGAGGCGAAACCCGAGGGACGATGTTCAATCGACACGTACGGTAACGGATCGACCAACCGAGCTTGGGCCTCTCTCGGCCAAAAACTTCGTTTCACCTTGTTCCACCTATCTGTGTGTGTCGCATGAATAGCTGTTGTTCGGGTTCATGTCGTACATTTTCGAGTCAGAATCATTGAAGGCAAAGGCAGCAACATAGGTAACTTTGGCGCGAATGAATGGTCGAGGAGCAGGCGCACGATAAGGACGCTTGTGTGCAATGGAAATGTTCAAGGCTAGGGACTATGCCGTTGTGTTGAAGGCCTGGTTACAAGTTTAGAGGGTGACCTAGAGGCTAGGGTCGCGTAGCCGAGCCACGAGCCATGTAACCAAGCTGTCGCTCTCTACAAGCCCACAAAACATAGTTCATTGGCAGCGTCAATTCGAAACAAAAGATGGATGCAAATGACACCCAACATGGCACGCCCAACGAAGCAGGTGACGAGCCTGGTTCTCCAGACTTCTGGGACAACGTCTGGACATGGTGGTAATAACCCGGGAAAAACTTTCTTCGCGAGTCCTGTCTCAACCTGGCGTCCATTTTCTCTGCCCCGCACAGTCTGCGGGAGGGCCACGAAATCTTCAGCAGTGAATCATTGCCGATCTGGCAATGTATATCACGAGATTCAATGTTTCGCAGGATCCTATGTCATGTACACCAGCAAATAGACCAATGTATCTTTAGTCCATAGGCTTGCACAGGATCACCTCTAGCGACAGGAATTTCGAGAAATCCAATGGCCAAGGCCATTGGGAAGAAACAGTCCACAAACGAACACACAAAATACGACTCAACTCGCCCGATCGGCGCTGAAAACACACAAGGTACACCTCACGCTGCGCCTCGGAAACCATGTTTCCTATCGTAACGCCTCTCTCTCTCTCTCTCTCTCTCTCTCTCTCTCTCTCTCTCTCTCTCTCTCTCTCTCTCTCTCTCTCTCTCTCTCTCTCTCTCTCTGTCTCTCTCTCTGTCTCTCTCTCTCTGTCTCTCTCTGTCTCTCTCTGTCTCTCTCTCTCTGTCTCTCTCTCTCTCTCTCCCTCTCTCTCTCTCTCTCTCTCGCCTCTCTGTTGTACATATATCGATCTCTATTCCATGTTGAACCTTCACAAGGAATTGCAGCATGTCGTGGGCGGCCATGATATCACAAAATCGCCAAATGGGCCATGCGAAGGGTCGTCAACTTCGAAACGGAACACGCAAAAACCGCAACAGAGGCAATAGAAGGTGGTGCTTGAATGACACACGATCGAAAAATCGCTGAACAAATATAAACAGATCCTCAGGTTCCAACCGTCCACACAGCAGCAACACGCATAAAATCAAACAACGTTCAACAGACGCCGAGAGAGAACATCTATGACAGCAACCCCCACAAGCGACAGAACGAATTCCTTAATCGTAGTTGGTTGCCTCACGCGTCACACTCAAACCGAAAGTCTTGAACGCACCCCCCTTCTCCCAGCACAAAATCAAACAACGTTCAACAGACGCCGAGAGAGAACATCTATGACAGCAACCCCCACAAGCGACAGAACTAATTCCTTAATCGTAGTTGGTTGCCTCACGCGTCACACTCAAACCGAAAGTCTTGAACGCACCCCCCTTCTCCCAGCACTACCCATACACGCCCCCGCATCACATGGGAACTGACGGGGTCCCCCCCAAAACGGCAGTCAAAATCAGCACATCAAAGCAAGGGATGCCCCTCCCGTTCTCTTTCGAACGAGATCCTGAACGGCTCCAAGCACGGCCCGGTAACCCTCGACCCACCCACCCCCGCCGGTACCAACCGCGGAACCCCCGCTGTCCTTCCCCTGACCGGCGGTTTCGCTGGCTTTCGCGGACAGGCGTCCCAGGCATCGGAGAAGCGTGGCCGTTTCATCGAGTCTGCCGCCCTCCACCAGCTCCTCTAGGTACCTGCGCGGCGAAAATACCGTCGGTTGCAGGTACATGTCGCCCGCGATCAAGAAACAAACCTTTAAGGAAGAAAAAGCTCAGATTTTGGCGATGAGTAAGACACGTCGGCTAAGAAGCGCACCTCAGCCGTGGATCCTACACTAAACTCAAGATAATTACCTATGCTCGATGGTGGCGACGATTTTAGAAATTAAGACTCGACCCCAAAATTGGCGGTTCTTAAACCCGGGCGCTTACCGTACATAAGATACCGCACTCTCCTTGAACCGCTTGTCAAAGCCCGAGTACATTGCAGCACAGATACGGCACGGAAAAATGGAGGTGTGGGAACCGTCTACGTACTACGCAAAACGCGCATCTGGTTCTGGAATCTTCTTCGTCGTGGAGAAACCAAGCTTTGAAATCGGTTGGGGGAGTGCGGAATCTCATACACACCGGTACTCTTCGAATTGAAATAGTTCGACTACGACGAAGGGGGTACCGCAGTTGACATCAAACCATTGGGCATGGGTGAGGGGTGATGGGAAGCGTATCATTCTGATGGAGCTTGTGGTTGGGGGGGCATAAAAATACTCGCCGGTATCAACCGCCCACAGACAACAGTATCGTATTTTTCTAGCCCAGCGTTTCGAGGTCCCGTCTGTCGGTCCACCGGCGGTTGCACAAAAAGGCCGCCATTTACACAAGAGCTGAACACTCTCCAGCACATCTCAACACAATCGAGACCTGCGTCCACCAGCGGTTGCACAAAAGGCCGCCATTTACACAAGAGCTGAACACTCTCCAGCATATCTCAACACAATCGAGACCTACGGCAAAGCTCAGCGGTACGCAACGTCCCCGGTGCGCCTGGTGGGAGTACATAGGCGAACCAAAAAAATACCTGTACAGCAGCTCCAAGTGCCATTGGGAGGGCGACCGAACCGCGCCGCCGATCCACCGTCGCAAGACTCCCCTCAGCGTGCCCGCGGGTTCCACGTCAAAAACGCCATGTCCAACCCCGCCGGTCGCTGCATGCTTCCCTTGAGGGGAAGGCGAGCAAATATCGACGACGTCTTCCATGTCGAATCTACCGTCTCGGTCGTCCTGCGGGGCGTCGTAAGCGGTGACGGTGGTCTCGGGCCCCTGGTCATCTTCGTGTTGGTTTATTCCTCCGCTGCCGATGTTGCCGCTGCCGCCGCCGCCTTCACCGCCGGCTCCGCTCCCGCCGGGATTCGCGGCAATACTCCGGAGCACTTCGTCCCTCACGTCCGAAGGAAGGCAGTCCAACACGTCGCGGTCCACCTGCGAGAGGCTAAGGCGAAACAGCTCCGCCGATCTCGGCGACTCCGCCACCGACCGCTCCTCACGCGGTAGCGGCGACGCCAGCCTGACGGCCTCCGGGGAAACGGCCATCATCCCGGGAGAAGACACCGAAGAAGCCGGCGGCGGCGGGTTCGATAGAGGAGGCGGGAGGCTGCTTCCGTCGTTAATAATGTCATCCGCTGTGCCTGCAACGGAGGCTTTCGCGTAGGGTAAGTCATGGTCACCCCGGGCCGGGGATAATCCTCTCCCACGGCTACCCTCTCCAGCGGTACTGCTGCGGCCGTGCCCCCCCGCCGCCTGCGAGTAGCGGCGGGCGATCTGTGCCCGCTGGTTCTCGGTGAGGGAGGCGTAATGGAGGCCGAGCCCCAGGGGCAGGGCGCGCAGCGAGTCTCGGTCGAAGACCGACGGCGGTCCGGCGCCGGGCTCGTCACCCTCGCCGCCTTCCTCCCTAAGCTTTCGCAGGCCCCACAAGCTGTCGATGCTGACCTGGGTGTCCGTGTCCGAGGACAAGGGACACAGGAGGGCGAGAATAGGGGCGTGACCGAGATTTGGCGGCGTGTGGAGTCAATGCTCATTTTTCAAATGCACTATGGCACTTGGGTTGCCCCAGTGGGGGTACGTGTGGATGGCACGTCTAACCACAGGGGTACAAACGCGGAGCCTCTTTTGGGTACGGACGCCGCCGTCAGCGTACGGGAGCACTACACGGTTACCGTTAAAAAGAGAGTCATGGCACACAACTCCCCAACGGTCGACTACTCAACAACCAACGTGCCTAAAAAAACGACCCGTGGCAAAGAAAATCTCTACCAAAGTGTACAAGACAATCATCATGACCACCCTTTTCGGCAACATTGGCAGCCTCTCTGGCTGTGAAACAATTTGGCGGCGAAGGGGTGAGCGATGACTCGCACTGGTACGGTAGGTGACCCGATATAGTGGCATGTAGGGGCAACAGGAGAATATGCCACTATTCAGGACAGGGCCACTACAACACAGTGCCACTATTCGGTATATCGGGTTCAGGTACATGTTGAGATTGTGACAAGAGGTCTTGATGCCACTGTATCGGCAGTTCTACTGTTCAAGCTGCCACTATATCGGGCCGCCTACTGTACCGCATAGCCCGACCATCCCCATTCTACCTCTTGTGAGCAGCCCGTACCATTAAGGCGTGGGCCTTAGTAAGGTGTTTTGACATGTCTGGGTTCCATTCATTTCTCATTGATTTTCGTGATGCATACGGTACCATTTCGAGGGCAGTGTGCCTGCGATCGCTGCAGGCATCTGCGTCTGACCGGCACGGATGGTAGAAGGTACAGCGCAGAGCTCGGATCGCTTTTTCAACGTCAATACAAGCAAGAACAACAACAACAACGACGACGACGACGACGACGACAACTCACCTGCTGGACTTTACCCGGGCCGCTTCTGTCGGCGGTGTCGAACCCCTCGCGGACCACTTCCCTCGTTTCGCCCCCCCCCGCCGCCGCCCCGCCCTGCCCCGGTGCCTCCCTCGAAAGCGGACCAGTACCAGCACCCGCCCGCCCCTCGCCATGGGGAGGAGCGCTTGGACCCCCTCCTGAGTGCGGAGACGGCGGAGGCAAGGTGACGATGCCGTCATGGCGCTGCCGTTTGCGTGCCTCCACTTGGGAGATGACCTCTCGCCGTAGCTCAGGCGGCAGAGCGCCGAGGACGGTCTTGTCAATCTGGGAAAACGTGATCTGGCCGCCGGGCGGGTGGGCCGGCACGGGGAAAATGGCCGGGGGGATAATCGGGACAGTAAACGGGAGAACAAACGGGCGGACCCGGACGTGAAAATGACCGGGAAAACTGACCGGGATAATAACCGGGGGAATAAACGGCGGAGTCACTGGGCGGGTGGGGGAAACCGCCTGAGAAAACGGGATCTGGCGGGCGGATACGCCCGGACGGGGCAAATAACCGGGAGAATAACCGGGAGAATAACCGAGAATATAGCGGAACGGGAAAGGAAACAACCGAAAGACACATCGAGGGTTCGAGCAAAATACCTAGCCGTAAGAACACGAATCATACCCTTCAAACAACAAACTGTTGACATTTTCTGTAGGACTTGACACCGCTAAAAATCGTGCGAGCCCGCATGTTTTCGGAACGAAAAAACTCCGAAGACTCCAATCGGACACCTTCTAACCAAACCTCTGTGCGGTAAGTTCCCGTTGGTTTTCACAATGGAGGAAATATGGAACGGGTCTCGGGCAAAGTGGCAACGAAATTTGTTCTTCGTATTTGGTTATGTGGTGCGGCACGTTAGGCATATAGAAGAGGGCAAAACGAGGGTGGGTGATCCATGCGGAGGAATGAACGAGCGTTGCTCGTCGTCACGAAGCGGCCCAAGTCAACCAACAACACCCCGCCATCAAGCACTGACGCTGCGTTGGGGCCCTGCCTCTCGACTGGTTCACCGCGGTCCAACTGCAGGGCGACCGGTCGGGTTAATTCTACCTAGTACAGCAAGCAAGGACCGCCTTTGAGAATTATTATTTTTTCGAGGAAATAGAACGGGGAGGGGATACGCAGAGACCCAACCCCCAACACTATCCCTATCCCAACTTCCCCGATTGCATGTTTCATCCGACATGTTCACATCATAAAAAAAACCTGCGAAGTCTACGGAAACAGCAACCATCCCCGGTGCTGCCCTCACCTGTGACATGGAAGGGCTGCCCGCCGACCCGGCCGGCGGCGGCGTCGCGCCCACCGGGGTCATCGGGGGCGAGAGCCGCAACCCCGGGCTCGCCGGCTCCGCCCGCCGTCTCGCGGGAGGGGAAAAGCGTCCGCCCGGTGAAAGTCTTCCGCTGTTGCCGCCCGCTTGCCGAGAAGACGCGATGTCGGTAGGGGGCAGCGGCGGGGGCTCGGCTTGTTCGCCCCTCGTCGTCCCTCTGGCCCCGCGCCGTGCTGGGGGGGTGGCACAGTCACCGATCGACGCATTCCGCGGAGCCCCCGTGCCATCCGCGGGCGTGCTCAAGTCTTGGGCCGCCTTTCGCTTTCGGGCGGACTCGGGACTGTCAAAGCACGGGCTCGAACCTCCTGCTGCTCCGCCCGCCTCGGCTTCTGCCGCAAGGCCTCCGGCGGTCTTGGAGGGTGCGGATGCCGCGTCCGAGACGTCTGGGAGCGAAGAAGGCGTGCCAGTGCCTTGACCGGGAGATTCGAGGCCGTTCTTGCACGGCCCCGCTTCGTCACGCTTCTTCTCCTCCTCCTCCTCCCGACGACGCTTCTTGGGGGGAGAGGCTGCTGCACCGCCTGCGGGTGCCACCGCCGCCGTTGTCGTCGTAGAGCACTGCCCCCGAACAGCTGCCGTACCACCAGCCTCTTCTTCCTCGCCTGAGTTTGTGTCCACCGTGGCTGCCGCCTCCCCTACCGCCCCCAGGCACTCAGCTCGTTCACAAGGCTTGAGATTCTCGTCGCTGGCTCGGAAGGCGGGGTTCGAAGCGTCCCCCAGCACCGAACGAGAGCTCGCCCCCTCCTCGGCGGCGGCAGAAGTAACGACGACCTCGGGGGGTCCTGCAGACTGCCGACACGTAGGGGGGTCGATCGAGCCCCCCCCCGCGGCGCTGGGCTTGATCAGCCACCCGCCCAGAGACCCCGCTCGGCCGCCGTCCGCTCCACTGCCGCCACCGCCGGCAGAGGCAGGGACCAGGCGGGTCATCTGCAGCCCGATGCCCCGGATCTTGCCCGGGGGAACCTTGCACTCCCTGAGAAGCTGCAGGGCGTGCGGCTTAAGGGTGGCCGCGTCGGCGGTGGCATGTCCGAGGTTTAGCAGCTTCGAGCGGGCGTCGCAGATGCCGTGTCCGAGGTACTTCCTAGGGAGTCCGACGCCCTGCGTGTACGCATGATACGAGGAAAAAGAAGAAGACCCACGTAGAGCGATTCCATTGAACTTGTGAATATGACGGGTGTTCTCGTGTTGATTTCGAACGCGCTGAGGATGTGGGGATGGCGTTGAAAGTGGTTTTCGTATTGGGGAAGAAGGGTCGAGGGACGGGTGCGCCTGTTACGTCATGGCAATTAATCACAAACTTTTTCCGTAAAAAAGAGCCGCAACAAGACTGGCGACATTCATTGGTTACTAGCCGAGGGGCGCGGTAGAGGCTGAAGTATAATACACACACATCCCTTACACGAAGAAACACACCCACAACTTTAAAAGAATACTGGGAGGGAGAGATACCGAGGGCAAGAACCACGCCGGCGTACAAGTGACTCACGTCTCGCTGCTTCATGACCTTGAGCGTCAGAGCTCGCCCCAGCACCCCCTCCGTCAACATCCTCCGACTTAGCTCCACGGCTAGCTCGGACAGAAAGCCATCCGCTTGTGTCTGGGTATCGAAGCGAACGCCGTAGTTAACCTCCGCGCCAATGCTCTTGCGGTCCGGTGGCGCCTGTCGAGCCGTTTTCAGGAGTACGGGAAGCACGTGTTAGACTCGAGTTCGTTCGGCCAATACCCCAGAATTCCGCGCTGGGTAAGTTTGTCAATCTAGGTAGTGAATGGCAAGCAGCTGAAATGAAGAAATCGCACGACCTTGGGGGGGGGGGTCACCAATTCCCATGCCGCCAAATAAGGCCACTCTTCTGGATTTCCTGCAAAAAAGCGATGCCAAGCGGTGCAGCATCTCGTTCGTCAATACACAGCACTCCAGGATGATACGTTTGTTGAACTACACCGCCCACAACGGAAGTTTGGATCCCTCTGTCTGTTCGTCGAAATACGGATCTCAGGAACATCTTTGTCTTTGTTTGCTGCATTGCCAAAATTTCTTTGTTGGCGGCAACATCGCCCACGATGGTAGACTTGTTGCCCTTTCGTCGATAATCAAATTCTCTGGGTACCAACCGTTCGTTGGATAGCCCACAACCAAAGCTCTCCCGTACTTTCCAGTACCTGTACAGGTCTCTTGTCGATGCCTCTGCAAGCCTCCCACAAAGCCCGCCCGGTCTTCTCGCCTAAGGCCAGCCCTTTCTGCATGTGCGTGAGGCTCAGCGGCCATAAATCCGAGCATGACGTAAGGCCCTGCTCATTGAGACGTTTGCGCAGCTTCCACCCAACCCCGGGTAAGTCCTGCCAACCGATCCGCAATGCGAAGATCGTCAGCTATCGTAGCGAAGCAACGCGAGAGTGAGAACCCATTTTGGAGATTATCACTGCAGCCAGCGAGAACTCTTTCCGAAAAAAAAAATAAAACAAGGATGTCGGGGGAGCCCAGATTAACCGATCCGCAATGTGAACATCGTCTCTGTCCTAGCGCACCAGCGCGAGTCGTCAAATCATTCCTGCAGCTACAGCTGTTCGAACAAAAATGCGATGGATATCAGAGCAACCTATTTCATGCGACAACAACAACAACAACAGCAACGGTATACCGAAAACAACACTAGAAAATCTGTGCGGGCAAGGTTAGATTGCTGTGTCTCTCGTCGTTATCGTGTTGTTGCTCTTGAGTTGCGGTTGTCTTGACATCGCGAAGCATTCTGCTTCCATAGTGTGCCTTCTCGTACAATCTCGCAATGACGATGAAAAGAACAATGAGCACGGTATGAGGCATGGATTGTAATGACGGTGAAAAAAATAATGAACACGGTATAGTATGGATTTCGGAAGTAGACAGCAGTGATGGCATGTCAACGAAGATCACTAAGATATGAAGCGAGAACTTGTTTCAAGCGAGCGGAGGAGTGAATGGTTGGACGTGGTAGTGTCATGAAGTTAGGACGATATTCGCATGATTGCAGCATTGACAAAGCGTGTAAAATGATACCTCGAGTGAGGCTTCACGTGATCGTGTTAGCCCGTACAGAATGACTGAAAGAGTGAGTAAGGGAGTGAGCGAGCGAGTAAGGGAGTGAAATGCGTGAGTGAATTGATCAATGAATGATTGATTGATTGATTTGAGCTTGCGGGTGAGTGGTTGAAACGCGTGAGTCTGTGAGACGTTGAGCGAATGTCTGAGCTAGTGGCTGAGAAAGTTAGTGACCACATACGTAGGTCAAAAGTGAGAGAATGTACGTGGCAAGGAGTGAGTTCTTGCGATACGCAGTGAGCGGATAAACGTGTAAATGTCAGTGAGAATTTGACTGGATGTATGTACGACTGAGTACTTGAGTGACTCACCCGAGTGACGAGTTAGAGTGCACACGTCAAGAGTAGCTGCTGGATGAGATACTAGTTCCGCAACCAAGAGAGGGGGTGAAGGTGACAGCCAGTGGGCTGGTGTGTGGATGGGTCCCGTAAGAATATGAGCGAGGGCGTAAACACGTGAGTGAATGGAAGCATGCGGGCGTGCGTGTGGATGAGAATGAAAGAATGAATGAGCGAATAGGTGAGTGAAGTGAGTAAAAGACAGTGAGCGTTGAGGTCGTACACGACACAAGGCAACAACGGCGACGAACCTGCACCAGCAGCGGACCCATGTGGCGCATGGCCATCTCCGGCGGAAGCCAAAACTGTCCGTCCGGCTTAGCCTCCTTCGTTGCCATCCTAGACGTGGACAGCGCACTCGGCAGTGAGGACAAAACATCCGCCTGGCTGTTTGCCCAACAACATGTCGGCCTGGATGCAAGACACATGTGAACAAATGCCTCGCTGTAACCAGAAGTGAGGCTTGACACAGTTTCGTGTGGAGGGGGGCGGGTCAGGCGCGCGCTCTGGGGTGTTCCCGGTTCCTTGTTGTTCTGGGCAAGATGATACGAGATGCTGGAGATTCGCGGACAAAGCAGAACATCAAAACTACAGTGTTGTACGACATTTGCTCGCAATATCTAGACACGCATACGGCCATCTCGCCCTTTCTGTACACACCGGATTCGTTCGCCGTGCTTGCCTTCCTCTCCTGAAAAGCAAATCTTCATTGCAATATCCGGGTAATGATCAAAACTTGTCTACACTGCTCTGGAGCAGCAACTCACCTCGCCAGGAGCATGTTATTGGACGCTCCCGCGCTCGCCGAACAGCCCGTTTCTTCGAAAATGCTCCGGCGGATCTGGTCGTGGTGATGAAGGGGGGGGGCATCACCAAGGGGGCCACAAAGAGGGACAATACGGACAATGTGTGTCGGTGTTGTTGTTGTTGTTGTTGTTGTGGCTTGATTTCTTGTGTTGCTTGTGTTGCTTGTATTGCTTGTGCTGCTTTTGCTGCTGTGGTTGTTTTGTTGACGCCGCCGGTGCTGGTGCTGCTGTTGCTACTGTTGATGGCGCTCACGCCTGGGTGGAGACACTTCATCGAAAACTGTTCACCAACAGCTATTTACGCCGGGTTCGCACCCACTCTTGCGAGCGCACGATACGCATGACCCCGCAAGAGCAAAAACAAGGTTAGACGCGGTACAACAACACTGGTCAAGCTCATATAGTCAACCAACCATCGCTACGCGACCCGCGGAGGGTGCCGTCCTTCTGTCAGCAAACCAGACGAACAAAGTCAAGATTAAACGCTGCAGGCAACGTCCTGCACGTCGTGTAGAAGCCGAAATCAAAGCAGCAGAGCAGACAGGTCAGCCCGCGGAGAAGTCGAATGCAGCTAACTACTCTAACGATTTGATTTCGGCGTCAATGAAAGTATATCGAGGAATCTGGACCACCCGAAACTTCCACTCCCATGATTTCGGCTTCTTAAGCCATTTGAAAAGCACGCAAACACTAAACAAGCTGACTAGTCTACGACACAAGTTAGTCGTGGGGTACGAAGGATCCAACACTGCTCACTCCAAAGAGGTTTCGGCTCCTCAGATCATTTGTAACGCACCCCGACGGAACTTGTTTCAGCAATATGTATGTATAAATAGCAACGCCCGGGGACGGTCTGCGAGGTCCCCTGTCCGCAGTAGTTCCTGCGGCAAACAATCTCGAAGATCCTCAAAACCTTTCGATTGCGTCCGATGCCCGGCAAAGGCAAAAAAATGGTTAAAGGCGGACTGCCGTATCGTAAACAAGCACAGTTTGAACAAACGATGTTACGATAACTACCCACGCCATTGCCCCCTGAGACTGCACGCATTGCAAACGCAGCTCATAACTAGCAACAAGCCCAACACATTCTAGCGGCTTCTCGGGGAAGGGAGGTGCACTCATGTAAAACAAGCCTCACTAGTTCGATCATGGACGTCGCATCCCTACGATGCCAGGACAGCGCGATATGCCGGGTTTTCGTCGGGGAAGAAGAAGGGGGGGGGGGGGGAGGGGGTACGTCTCACCCGCGTCGCCGCCTCCATCGGGTCAGTCCCCTCCGCGAGCTCCAATAACGTCTCGTTTACGTACGAGGTTTTCAATTGCCTCAAAAGAAAATGTCTTGAGACTGCCCCCACTACCAACGTAGTTCGCAACGCATCCTGTGAGAGGAGGAAGCGGTGTGCGTCTCACCCTCGTCGCCGCCTCCATGGGGTCGGTCCCCTCCCGGAGCTCCAAAAACGCCTCGTATGCATACGAGGTTTTCAATTATCTCAAAAGCAAAAAAGGCTGAGACTGCGGCCACTTCCCACGCAGTTCACAACGCATCTTGTGAGAGGAGGAAGCGGGGTGCGTCTCTGTTGGGATGTAACCTTTGTGATAGGTGTATCCCTGGCAGTGGCCACTGTGTAGTACCAGTGTGCAGAGGCTCACAGAGTGACTGTAAAGTACACTTGTGCTGTAGACCAGATAATATGGTTTGGATTGGCGCTTAGTTGGCCGAAAGTAGAGAAGGAGAAAAGAGAGAGAAGAAAGAGAGTGAGCCAGTGGGGGCGAGCACCACGGGGGCGAGCCATCCACTGTCATCACGGACAAGAAACACTCACGGGCTATTGCAACGTCCCGATCACGGTAGTAGACTGTTAATCCGACCTATGGCATCGTTACAAGAATATCCTATAGGACAACAGTCCGATGTACCATACTTCTATGGTTCAATGTATATCCGTAGGTGTGTACAATGATCCGATTACTGAATCAACATACCGAAGACTATTCCGGTAATACTCCTTAAGTTGGGTACCTATTTACTACTTACAAATCCTAAATGACTGACATCGAATATTCCAACATTCTCACCCTCGTCGCCGCCTCCATGGGGTCGGTCCCCTCCCCGAGCTCCAAGAACGCCTCGTCGCAGCTGACGGCCATCACCACCGGCGCGTACCGCAGGAACACCCCGTACATCCTCTCGCTTGCCCCCGTGTAGGCCTCGAAGTCGTACCTGTGATGAACAGCGTAATGGAGAAAACGATGGATCACGGGTTGGGCTCTGTGCGCGAATGCTGAGACAATTAACGATGGTAAACAGGTCGAGCTTCAAGGGCTTGTGCGCGAGTGCTGAGACATTAACGATGGTAAACAGGTCGAGCTTCAAGGGCTTGTGAGCGAGTGCAATGGCAAAAACAATGGGACAAAGTGTCACGGTTTGTGCGGGAGAACTGTGTAAAAACGACGACATCACAGGTCGGGCGTCAGGTTTGTGGGGGAGTGCGCCTTCGCGCGGACGATGCGACACAGGTCGGGCGTCGAGGTTCGTTCGGGAGTGCCATGACAAAAACCATGGGAAACAGTGCTGGGCGATAAGGTTTGTGTCCCGGTACATTATGGAAAAACAAGATGGACAACGCGTCGGGCGTCAGGTTTGTGAGGGAGTGCGCCGTTGCATGCATGACGGGAAACAGGGCGGGCTTCAAGGCGTTGTGAGGGAGTGCCATGGCAAGAACTGCAGGTCTGGCGTCAAGGCTTGTGAGGGAGAACGGTGACACAGCAGACGATCGAAAACAGATTGGGGGTCAAGGCTTGTGCGGAAGTGTACCATGGCAACAACGATGGAACAGAGGTCGGGCTTCAACGCTTACGCGGGAACGCGGGGATAATACGGGGCCAAGACCAACAGGAAGCAAGGGCGCAACACACGGCATATCGCCACACGGCGGGTCGCTAAACTGGGCCCCACCACTGCACAGCTTCTACCGGACGTCCTGACACAGAGATCGTTCAACGACAAGTGGCACGAAAACGCAGCCGACGCTTGCAACGATCTATAGGAGCAAGGCAATGTTACCCCTGTAAGGATAAAAAAGGCTGTCTGTGTCTTGTCAGCATCGTTCGCCCTCGGGGCACGCGATACGTCAGCCGGGGTCCCTCATTTTTGCCGGTTGAACATTGCCAATGCCCAGTATACAGCCACTGGTAAACAAAAATCGAGTGACACGTAAAGTTCAAGCTATCTCGTTCTCTCTTGATACGGCCGGGGTGCACGGCATATTGCCGGTCGATGTTCAAGCTCGTCCCATTCTCTGTACCGTGCCAAGCGCCCGAAATAGCGCCGGCGAATCTAGCGGGCATGTCTCGGCACTATTGAGGGACCCCCACTATTCTCTCCTGATCTTACCTGAGCACGATCAACTCCGGGCACAGCTTCTTGGCCTGCATCATGAACATGCCTGCCCTCAACCCCTTCGCCCGGGCGGGGTAGTTGCAGGACGAGATCTCGCTGCTGCCGGCCCCCTTTGCGTTGCTCGCTGTGCGAAACAGTACGCGTGCACCACCGATAAAGCGAGAGAGAGAGTAGCATCAAAAAACGAAAAAGAAGAAACATGATCGCTTCGGGGGGGGGGTCGCTGTGGACGGGACGGGCTGGCAGCACCGGTTGCGCATATTTCGTGACTTTGAACAGCATTCCCGCGGGGACAACAAATAGTCAAACAACGCAATTCCAGCCAGGAGAGCGACATGTTTACGCTAATACAAGCACTATTTTTGTGGCGGTTTTGATTTTCGGACGTCGTCAACACTGGGCGTATTCGTGGGGCATTCTGCGCAGTCCGTACGCCGCCAACTTCACAACTTCTATCTTTCGTGCACTCCCTACGTGCCCGTTCGACTTCATCCAGCACTCTTGCCTCCTGCTGCGCGCTTACCGTTGTGAGCGACGGCTACCGGCTTATCCTTCAGCTCCGGGCGGTTCTTGACCAACACGCTCACGAAAAAGCAGTCCATGTCCACGTGAAGGATCACTCGGGTCTCCCCGCGACCCAGCCTCCCCCCGAATACAGCCTGCGTCGCCCCCGGCAAGGCTCGGGCCGCCAGACCGGCGTTCACCACCTTTACTGCGTGCGCGCGCCTGTGGGGGAGGGGGTTCCGGGTTGTGTATGTGTATGTGTGTGTCTATATTATTAGCATCGACCGCGTTATCCTGCTGACCATTGAATGCGTGTGCGTCTTTACCCATAGCATCGGAGATTGCATGTCTGTGCATCTTTACCCTTAGCATCGGAGATTTCTCATTGTGTGCATGCACAACACAGCAACAACAGCAGCAACAACAACAGCAGCAACAACAACAAGCAATACCAACATAGCTTCTCCCGCCTCTCTCACCCCACGCCGATGAAGTGCAGCCTCGAGTTCCGGAAGAACGTCTTCATGAAAGCCGGGTCATCCTTCGTCGACCGCCCCCCCTCCCCCGCAGCCCCCATCTCGGGAAGCTCGAACGGCGGCGGGACGGAAGGGTCGTGACCGCTGGCACTACCGCCGCCGCCGCCGCTGCCGCTGCCGCTGCCGCTGCCGCTGCCGCTGCCGCCGGCGTCGTTAGCCTCCGAGCCAACGGGATAGCGGGCGCCGCTGCCGCTGCTGCCGCGAGCATTATCGCCGTTGTTGTCGTTGTCGCGATTGCGATCGTTGTCATTCGATTGCTCGCGGCTACCGGCGCTTTCTTCTTCCAGCACGGAGTCTCGAAGCCTACCTGAATCGGCAAGAGTGTCGGTGTCTCCGTGACTGTTAGCGTTCGTCGCTGATGGGGTTGAAACAGCTTTGCCGCCGCCGGCACCGGTACCACCAGCGCTGGGAATCGCACCAGGCTGCGCTGCTGACACGGCGGAAAGTTCGGTGTGTTGCGGCCGCCGCTGATGCTGCCGCCGCTGCTGCTGCTGCTCCGAGGATCCACCCACAGCAGCAGCTGAATGTTCGAATCCCGCCAATGCCGGCGGACGCCTAGCCTCCCGGTTCTCCCCACCGAGGGAAGCGTTTTCGTGCGCGCCGCTGCCAGTCAGCCCGCCAGAACGCGATGCCGCCGAACAGCCCGTTCCAGGGCCGCGCCCAGTGCCCCCGTGACGTGCGGTACTGGCCGCGTCGGTGGAAAGGTGCCGCGGGGAAACCCTCGCCGCATGCCCCTGATCCTGACAACCGTGTTTCGTGTTTCGGCCGCCAGAAAGGTGGCCGCTTCTCGACCCCCTCGGAGACGGACCCGCCCCTCTTGCACTAGGTCCGCCGTGTCTACTCCCGCTGTTCACGTCACCGTCGCTAACGCCGCCGCCGCCACTACCGCTACCGCCGTCGCCGCCGCTGCCACCGGCCCCGCCTCGAACATCCACGTCTCCGGTCCGTCTTTCTGCGGGACCCGCCCCTCCGGCCGAGGCCTTGCCGTAACCGCTATCGGCACTACCGCCAGAGAAACGCCTCCTTACGCCAGCAGGTCCCGGCGACGGCGACGGCGACGGCGACGGCGGTGGCGGCGACTTCTTCGGCGTGGCGGCGGCGGCAAACGACGCCGCTAGGGTGCCCTTCTGGGCGAAAATTCCGTCAACCGTGTAGTCTGCCAAGGGAAGCTTTCGCCGTGCTTTGGCGGAGTCCTGTACCCACGCCGAGCGCACTACGGGTGGGGGGTGCCGCAGCTGGACGTGCGCCGAAAGGGGGTGGGGTACATGCGTGGTCAGCCGAGAGGCAGCGGTCATCGAGCACGGATGTTGTGTTGCGCTTGCGACGGCGGTTGAAACGCGAAGGAGAGGAGTGCCGCCGACAGTACCTACCAGAGAGCCCCCGTTCACCAACAAGTCACGGAGCCCCAACCTAGAGACATGGTCAACAATGTCAAGGGTCGGTCCTTCGGGTAACACAGGCGTGGAGGCAAACATGTCCGTTACAAGCGAACCTGGTGCAACCTGAAGACATGGCGCGAACGATGGTACAAGTACTGATAACCTCTACAACTGCTGCACACTTATTCCAGCATTGGCTGCGGGTGTTGAGAGGGTGCTGAGAAGAGACCGGACGGTTTCGAATGTGAAGAAAACGATAACAACAGCAACAACAACTACACCATGAACAACAACAACAACAACGACGACCACAACGACCACGACAAACCTACCTTCCGCAGCTCCCTGATCTTGGCGGCCGGTAGGACCTCGCAGATCATGTGCGTGCACCTAGACGTGTTGTAGGCCTCCACGATGCCGCCGCGAGACACCAGCAGCTCGCGCAGCGTCGACACCGGTACCGGGAAATGGCCGTTAAAGTGCGCCACAACCCCCTTGAAAACGTTGCCGTCCGAGCCTGCGAGAGGACAGGCCAAGGGGGGGAAGCAGAACTCAAAAAACATGTTGCGTGAGCCGTGACAGTCGCAACAACAAAAGAAGGTACTGGCTTCTCTGCAGAGGTTGGGGGAAGGCCTGGGAACAAGGGCGGAATTGCGCCAAACGAGCAGCATGCGTGCAAAGGGGTTCAAGATCGGTGGGCAATGGGAGGCGTTACGAAACCGTTTGGTGTCGGGTTCCATGCTGCCGGTCCAGCGAGCGTTGCCTTTGTGATGACGCCACGAGGAGGGCGGTGGCGTTGAGCCACATGGCAGCCGCAACCCAAACCTTACACCAGTCAGCTCGATCACCTTCTGGTTACAAAAAATTGTTTGATTTCGGGTACGAATGGCAAACTCATCCCAGGGTCCCAACTCCAACAACTTCGCCTTCAAGTGCAGGACTGTCGTCAATATTAGTAGCATGGCTCTCTCCGTAAAACGTACGTATTGCCTGTCCAGAACAGCAAGCAAACAGAACTATTCTAGCAAGGGGCGAAAACATCCAAGTCCCTGCCACACAGACCCCACCCTTCCAGCGGCGAGTACACAGTGTGTGCAACTGCCAAATGCGATTTGGAAAAACCGCACTGAGACTGGCGTCAATTCATCGGGCAGCCGGCTAGTGCGGATGACTACTAAACACTACACCCACACGAGGAGGATACAAGGCGGGGCAAATATGCGGAGGGAGCCAAAAAGAGGCCTCGGCAGGCACGTGCGTTTCTCTTCTACCGTTTTTGTGTTTGATCCAGAGGATAGCCTAGCCTCTCCCACATCATGGCCATTAGAGGGGCCTTCCTTCCTTAGCCTCACTGAGACTGACGCCTTTTCATTGGTCAGCCGGTTAGCGCGGTCGATGTCAGTAACAAAGACACACAAGCATGCACGTACACAAGTACACAAGTATGTCTGTAATCCGGCGAGCAGCAGAGCCCCGCCCATGGCGCCCCTTCACGGGGTCCCAGATAGTTCCCTTTCGAATCATTTTGCGTTTTTGCAGCCACACGGAGACTGCCACATGTTCATTGGTCAGCCGGTTAGCGCGGTCGATGCCAAAAAAAAAACACACACACGCATGCACGAAAACACACGCACGACCGACCACTTGCCTTGGAGGCGAGGAACAGCACCGTCGACCTGTCGGCGAAGCTTGTCCATCTTGTGGGACATGTACACGCCGAAGCTCCCCTGGTGGTGCTCACCCACAGGCACCGGCCCATCGTCATCTTTCGCCACGCTGCGCGTCAAATCCTTCACTGTCCTGTGCTCCGAGGACGGGCTGCGAGCTTCCCTGGAAACGCTGGGTGATGCCGGCGTGCCGGGTTCGTTTGAATCTGGGAGCCCTTGTGAGGCATCTGTACCATCGCCGGCGGTAGCAGCACCAGCAGCAGCGGCAGCAGCAGCTCTGTCTTTGTCCCCTACCCTGCCGCTCCACTGCAAGGAGCTGTGCTGCTGCCTGCGTTCGAAGTACGCCTTTCGATCGCCATGCCGCTTCATGCGGGAGAACCGGCCATGCAGATAGGTCTTGACTGCTTCTAATATTGTGAAAGGAATGGAAAGCGCGTTGTCGTGAGTCAGTAAGCGGTACTCGCACCAAAGAGGGAAGGGACTGCTGAACCTTCCCGCACACAATAATTAAAGGCAAGGACCCCCGGAGGATATGTGGACAACAAATCCAACGTTCCCCCCCGTCCCCCCCGTGTTTGATCCGCGTGTCGGTGAATTGGTGCGTCGAACATACATCCAAAGATGTTACAGAACGCGCCCACACGGAAGAAGCTATTATTTTTCCCTACGCTCGTTTCTCGATTTCTCCGTACATATTGATATCGAACTTGAACCAATATTGATTTGGAACAATATGTGGTAGTGTAGGATTCTTAACAGAGCACCTGTGCGTATCCTCATTTATATGTTGCTCACGTTGTGGTTTCTATGCATATGAGGATGAAATTTCTAGGGGTACCAATTTCTTGAGTGCGGGCGCGTTCAGCAGCCTGCCAAGCCCTTGCGCCGTGCCACTACTACTGCTGTACGGCGACAAATCAGGACGGTGTGACGTTGCCATGGGCAGAAGGCCTAACGGGACGAACAGGGCAGGGTACAGCTGAGACCGGCAATCCGTGTGGTTCAAGCTCTCCATATCAGTATTTGCTGTTGTCGTCGTCGTGTATAGTTAACTTGCATGTACGGTCCCCCGCTCGAAGGTTCTGGCGCGAAAAAAGAATCAAATCTGCTGCTGTGTCCAGGCTGTCAGCAGGTGTGGTACGAGTCTCCGCTGTAGTTCTCTCCCATTTCTTGGATAACGCATCGCGAGAGTGTACCGACGAGAGACTGTCAGGGGTGCAAGCAGGCAGTTCTTCCCTGGGCCAGCACGCGCAACTCCAAAACATTGTACTCTGTAGCACTACATACCGTATATGACACAAGATAACACACCCCCTGGACCGATTTTCAAAGCTCGATTACTCCACGACGAAGAGGATTCATAAATGAAACAATACGTTTTCGAACAGCTCTCGACGAGACGGTTCCAACGCCGCCGTTTTCGGCGCTGTGACTCTTCCTGCTGTTGAGAAATCGAGCTTTGAAAATCGGCAAAGGGGGTGTGTTATCTTGTGTCATTTGCGGTATACATAGACCAGATAGAGTAAACAAGGGTTGTGCAACACAACACGCCTGTCTGGGTGAATCTGCAGATAGATCAGGGCAGTCAACGACACACACGCAAACGCTTATGTCTTGGGCGTAACGACACTCAAACACCCACCACTACATTCTACCCGTGCGTCGCGTGTCGGATGCCTGGGCAAAACCTCCGCGTACCGCCACATACTGCTGCCGTAGCGCGAACTCGACCTAACTTGCCTACACTGACGCGCTTGTCAAATCACCCATCAACCACATCTCATGCATCGATGAGTCTCTCACCAACCTGTTCCAAATCTTACACCAGTGACCAGAACCAATTGTTCTTGCAAGTGCCACACGCACGTCTCGCTTCTTGCCGTGTGTAGTTGAAGTCCCGGGGTTGTGCGCCTGGCGTGTCAGCCCCACAGCTTGCAACAATCTCGGCAGCAAAGACTTCACCCGGAGACTGGAGACTGGAGACACCCCGCCGCAGTCACCATTGCGGAGCAATCAAATAGACTGCTCAAGTTGCGCGAAACGGTTTTTGAACCTCGCCGTTCTTCACGAAAGTATCGCCAATTTGAAGCCACTTCAACTGAGCCAGCTACCCATACAAGCAGCAGCAGCAGCACAGCAGCGGCGCTTTTCTCCCACGAGGGCCGACGACCGGTGAAGCCTGGGATTCTCATAGAGCTTAGCGAGCAGGCTTGCTGCACACCCTCAACCCGAGGCCCTGGATCTGCAGGGGAGGACGACCCTAGAACCGGTGCAGCCGGCGCCCTGATAGCATGCACTCGTCGACTGAATCTACTGCCAAGGTTGCAGTCCCCGGCATGGCCCTGCCAGGCGCGAACGAGCCGGCCATGGCGCTGGAAACTATCCCCAGGGCACTGACTGCTACTGGTTTTGTCGTCCCGGGGCGGCATGGCGGCGGCAGCGGCGACATCGCGGCGGCGGCGGCGACTCGCTCGTCCGGGAATCCTGCTGCGGATCCCTCCGGAAGCAGCGGCAGCAGCAGTAGAGCGGGACATGATCATTGCAGCCAATTTCGTGTGCTGGCTGCTCTCCCGGCGGCGGCCCCTCCCGCCGACAGCGGCACTAATAAACTGTCAAGGTCGTCGTCTTCCGTGCTGAGGAAGCTGCTGAGCCCTCGCGGTCTCGATGACGACAACGAGGATGCGGGGGCATCGCGCAAGAATCATCGGCCCCGCCGCTCTTTCAGCTGCCCTAGTCGTAAAACGGCCAAGCTTGCAACGGACGACAGAAATTTTTCGGGTCCCAGGTGCTGTGGCGGCGGCAGCAGCACGGCCGCGTGGCTACTCGAGAACGCGGTCAACAACCTCCTCGGCGGCGTCATCACCAGGTTCCAGCAGGGCCTACGGGCCGGCGACTACAATGACGGAGACTTGGCGGCGAAGAACGGCCACATGCACATCGTGACGCGTGTGGCGACCACGTTCTCCGACCGGGCGATGGCGCTGGCCGCGGCGCAGGGACACCTCGAGATGGTCACGTACCTCCACCGCAGCAGGGAGGAAGGCACGACGACGGAGGCGCTGGACTCGGCGGCGACGTCGGGGCACCTGGAGGTGGTGGAGTTCTTGCACGAGAGCCGGCGGGAGGGTTGCACGACGAGGGCCATGAACGGAGCCGCAAGCAACAACCACTTGCACGTGAGTATAGTCGACCATACAGCAGTATTAATAGGAGCGTGGAAAGTATCATGCTCCGTGCATTTTTTCTGGAAAGGAGCATGTCTACGCGAACGATATTAATTCATTGCTACAGCAGTGTAGAATACGTAGTCCCCGACCCTTCTCTGTGGGAGATAAATACTTCTTTATGTTCTCATAGGAAAAATAAAGGAACGGACTAGATGTGAAAAAGAGGGAATCGTCCCAAGTCGTCCTCGACAGACGTTGGGGAGATATGGTCGTAGTAGATACCTTTATGAAGGTGGTCTCCACATAGACGAACATTAGAGGAACACAGGCGTGATGCTGTAGTCTACAATACCAGGTGCGTACATATACATATGCATCCGTACATGTACTTGCCGACGAACGGTCCAGCGGTTGATGTGCTGGGCTGTGGTGTTGGGTCACCAGTTATTATTATGCCAGATACATACATGACCGCACAAACAAACAACGAGAGAGTCTCACCGATTTTTTTGTCATCTCTGCGTGCTGCGCGAAGCACTAATACATACGTGGACTACACGACGAACAATATGCGGCTCAATTAACTCTGGTCTACGTGTACACAAGTCTGGTAAAAAAAAATGGTAATAATGCAGTACGACCCAAATTTCAGAGCCGAAGTACCACACTCTGAAGTCGGGCGCTACAATTGTGGTGTATGTAGCGAAATTGCACCCAACCTGGAGCAACGGGTGCTTGTTTGTTGAAGAATTGTTCACCACTAAAACTGTATCTACAGTTTGCGCCCACGAAATTCAAACCAAACTTTTAGAAACAAAAGCAAGCCCAGATTTTGGCGATATAAATAATTAGAAAATTAGAAAATTCAACTACTAAATTACTTAAGAAACACACATAGTGGATCCTACACTAAACTCTATACAATAATGGCCTACTCTCGACGGTGGCGACGACACAAGAAATTGAGCCTCGACCCCAATTGGCGTTTCTTGAACGCGGTCGCTAATAGCTGTATAGAGTAAACATTGTCAACGTGTAGTCAACGTTGGGCTACCCGACAGAGAAGATGAGCAACGAGTCCCGGGCAAAAAAAAAGCAAAACAAGAAATGGGCGTGTGTTGTATCATGTGGCTCCCTTGGTTCGAGAAGTGCACGTCGGAAAATTTGGTACTATTTCAGTATCAATTGCAACCTTGTTTGTGGTCGGACCCTACTAGGTGCGGCAGGCGCGCAGAATGCCTCGAAATACGTCCAAGGACAGAAAAAACGAGGCATTTCCGAAACAATTTTTCGTGTTTCAGTGGATTTTTTTCAGCTTTGACAATGTCGGCGTTCCTGTGCCTTCTGAGACCTCCAATTGCTTCCACCCGAGGTGATGAAACATTTTTTGTTGTGGGGAGCGGGAGGCAAAAGAGATAAGGCTGACCACAAGAACAGGTTCTCAGTCAAGATTCTATGCATACAGCAATGTAGGGCGCATGTTCCGATCGATCCCATCGCAGCGGTGAAACCTACCACGATAAAGGAGCATTCCTGTTTGCGTGCCGTCCTGCTTTTGCTGAAATATTTCCCACGGCTCCTCTCTCTGCCTCTCTCTCTCTTTCTCTCTCTCTCTCTCTCTCTCTCTCTCTCTCTCTCTCTCTCTCTCTCTCTCTCTCTCTCTCTCTCTCTCTCTCTCCCCCCCCCCGCTCTCTCTCCCTCGCTCGCGCTCGCTCTCGCTCTGTTTCTCTTTTCCTCTCTCCCGCCTCCCGCCCACCATCGCAGGTGCTCGATTTTCTGCACAAGAACCGCTCGGAAGGCGCAACGGCGGCAGCGATCGACTCCGCCGCCCACAATGGGCACATCCAAGCGGTGCGATGGCTCACCTCCAACATACCCTCCCTCGCCGCCACCACCGCGGCGATGGACGGTGCCGCCTGCGCCGGCCACCTGGAGGTCGTGAAGTACCTGCATGAGGCTCGCGGCGAGGGCTGTACGACGGAGGCCATGGATGCGGCTGCCCGGAGAGGCCACTTCGAGGTACACAGCACATAGTCATGACAACCTGTAGCGTCGCTTTCGTATGTGTCGGCTCCTTCAACGACCAGCGCGATCGTTCGCCGCAAACCTTGGGCACTCGTTCAACATAGCCACGACGACAACGTCGTTTGTACCGCTTTGCATACGTCGGTTCGTTCATTGACCAGTGCGACCTTCTCGCCGCAAACCTCAGCCACTCCTCGACATAGTCACGACGCAACGTTGTTTGGCCGCTTTGTATGCGTCGGTTCGTGCAACGACTATTTGCGACAATCTCGCCGCAAACCTCGGCTACTCTTTGGCATGGCCACGACGACAACGTTTTATGGCCGCTCTGTATGTGTCGGTTCGTGCAACGACCATTTACGACAATTTCGCCGCAAACCTCGGCCACTCTTCGACGTACCCACGACGACGACAACGTCGTGTCCGCCGCTTTGCCCATGTCGGTTCGTTTACGAGGGACTAATCATTAGTCCTAGATGCCTCCAACAAACAACCCCGACACGCACCCAACGCCGCCGTGTTGTCTGATATGGCTCCCCCGATCCCCTCCCCCGCCACGCCGGTTGCTGCCGCCCAAGGTGGTCAAGTTCTTGCACGAGAACCGCGAGGAAGGGTGTACGACTGCCGCGGTGGACAACGCCGCCTCTGGTGGACACTTGGGTATCCTCAAGTTCCTGGTGTCCAACCGCGGGGAAGGCGGCACCGTGTACGCGATGATCCTGGCGGCCTGGCACGGCCACCTGGACGTGGTGAAGTGGCTGCACCACAACCGTGATGAGGTGATCGATCAAGAAGCAAGTTGTAGTTGTTGCTGTGGTTGTTGTTGTTGTTGTTGGTGGTGGTGGTGTTTGTTGTTGTTGTTGTCGTCGTTGTCCTGTTATGTATTATCGTCGTTATTTACGTTTAGAGTCGTTGTTCTGTATTGATGTTGTTCTTTACGTTTAGCACAACCGTTCGGTCTATACTCCGCACTCGTCCGCGATTGAGCTTCTCCTGGTTTAGGGTGTCCGTTCCTGCTAAACGTCTGTGTCCCCCTCTCCCGTACGCACGTGAATCTGCGGAACGGTCAGGGATGCACGACCAGCGCCATGAACGGAGCGGCGTACAACGCGCACCTCGATGTGGTCAAGTGGCTGCACGTACACCGGAGCGAGGTGATAACACTCAACGAACACTTCTGGAGCAGATATTTCTTTTGTGTTTCTTTCGTGCCGGGATTTTGATATTGCGTGTGCTTTCGTCCCCTGCTTCCGGTCGTGTGTCCACGCGCCTTGCGGGATACGTTTGACGTGTGTATCGTTTTTTTAAGGAACAGGCGCGGCCGTTTTCGAGACGAAGCCTTTCGTGCAGGTCTTTTTTGTGCAAGTACGCGTGTCTAGTTTCTGGTTGCTGTGATGGTTGCCTCGTAAGTCGGAACCAGTGGCATTCTACCGGCATGGCCCATCACAACACTAGGGGCTGAAGCGAATCAACTTTGGCTGCATCTTTGATTGGCGGGCCCAACAGGCTTCAGCAACGAGCCATCACCGGTTCAGACTGCTACGTCCACCACAGTGGTTCCAACCACAACCAATAACCCTATGCTTGTGCCACCCGATCAACTCTCTGCGGCCTGCTTTCCCGCAGGGGTGCACGAAGTCGGCGATGGACGTGAGTGCCATGCACGGCCACCTGGAGGTGGTGAAGTGGCTGCACGAGAACCGTCCCGAGGGCTGTTCCACGAACGCCATGGATTGGGCCGCGAAGGAGGGGAAGCTGGTGCGTGCTTTGCCTGTTCATCTGCGAACATCGGCACCGCTTTGGACTGTACAGTACGGGCCACCTACTTCGACTCTCGGTTATTACGCGACTCTCGCCCCGTGTTTTGATCAGTGGGGAATCCAACAGGGGACTTACATAGAGCAAGTGATAGTTTGGGTAGACGCTACTATTTCGTGAATATCGACGCCTCATTATTCAGTATTTACGAGTCATTGTGTATGACGCAACAGTAATTGAAGAAAAGGTCGGCTCGATCGCACTGGACCTTACGGAGAGTCTGGTTCCCATGTCGCTGCAGGCTCACACGGTGTCCAAGCAATATATCAAGCAACTTTGTGGTCGGTAATTCGGAACACACTGCGCGTAGTGTCGGATAAACGGCCCCTATTGTTGGTCTATCATTGTGCAGATGCGCGTCGTAGTGTCCCACACACTCCAACCTCTTCTCACGTCATCTACAATCTCCTGTTAGCAATCTCCCAGCGAAGCTCTCTGCGAGCACCACCGTCATCGCAAAGGACCGCTAGCGGGTTTCGTGGCGCACTGAATCCAGGCTGTTGTAGACGAAAACGATTTACACGAATCGTCAGACGCTGCTGCCTCTACTCCCCCTCCACCATCTCCTCCCCCTCCTCCTCCTCTGAACCTGACTTCCAAGGATTGCCGTACCCCCCCCCCGTGCGCAGGAGGTTGTCCAATGGCTGCACAACAACCGGTCGGAAGGGTGCACCCAGGCGGCCGGTGATTGGGCGGCCGGAAACGGCCACGCCGACGTCCTAACGTGGCTGCTCTCCAAGCGGCGGGTAGGGCACAGCCCTCGCGCCGTTGACTGGGCGACCAAGAACGGGTACTCGGACACGGTGGCCCTCCTCGAAGAACACCGAGACAGACAACAACGGTAGATTGCGCCGAAACGGCTACATTTTCGACGAGATCTGCGCGATACGGGGGCCCTCCTGGCACAAGATCGAATAGCGACGACAACAACGGTGGATGGTATCTGGGTGAGACGGCTGCTACATTTTTCGACGGGTTTTTTGGGAGAGAGCGGCCCTCCTGGCAAAGATCGGAGAGCGAAGACAACAACGGTTGATGGTATCTGGATGAAACGGCTGCTACATTTTCGACGCGATATTTCGCTCGATCGCTTGACCACTACTAGACCTATTCTTTTTGTGTTTGGTGATCTTGATTTTTTATTTTCAGCGGCTGTTTCACTCTTGCCGGCGACAGGGGGTCCCCCACTTTTGTGCTGGGTTTAGACTAACAGGGGTTTGGGGATTTTTCGGACGGGAACAGCCTTAACTCAGGCAATACCATAGCTCGGAATCCGGGAGGGGGGGTCGGATTTGTTTTTTAGACCTGTGTTGGAACCGCAGTGTTCTTGGCATCGCGATTCGCCGGTGGAGGAACGTTTTTCAAGCATGCAAGGGTGCATTCTTGATGCAAGAACGCGACTGGCCTCTCCACCTGAATTGTGTAGTATACTATCACTGGATGTTTGACTGTGGGGTATTGTCTACGATTTTGGGCACATCGCGCAAAATTCTTGTTTGTATATATGGCGTTGGTGGAAGTATTATATAGTAGTTACGATTCACATCGTGGAGCAGATCACTCTATAGCAGTGACTCAGCTATGTAATCCAACTTCTATGTTTATCGGGCATCCATCCGTGAAAGAGGTGAAAGCCGCTATTTCTCTTTGACGTTCCAGCACCGGAAGAAGAGCAGTACTAAGTCTTGGATTGATGGGTGATTGTTTGCGTTTTATTTCAATGTTTAGACGTACTCGTTGTGGTTTTCGCGTGGGAGCTCTAGCCCCATACGTCGGGTGATTCAGGAGGCAAGGCATGTCCGTTACGGTGCGGAGGAAGGCAGCGTCGAATCGGCCGGTGCTTTGGTAGGACTTACTGTGTTGTTTACATCTTGTTTTTCGCGTTGTGGCGCTTAAAAATACCTCTGCGCGGGACAGGAAACCTTCCCTCTTTGTGGTGCATTATTTGCCTGTGTTTTTCTGTACATAGGGTGGCGCTGAGAACGAGTTATATCTGCATCGGGCTGTCGCATTCTAGATCAGACTACAAGCAAACGTAGAGCGGGCGGGGATTGGTGTCTTTTTCTTTTTGTTTTTAATGGAGCTCTGGCCCAGATCGACTTGGTTATTCCTCGGGTTTTGCAAGCCATGTCGGCGAGTACTTGAAGCTCTTCTTCGTTCGTACCCTATGTATCTCTCTTTCTCTGTAGATGACGGAGTTCATTGCGCCCACGCGTCGCGTGTGACATCTGATGAATTTCACTCCTCATGTCGCGAACATGGGCGGGTGAGTTCACGTGTAGTTCAAGTTTTTTCTGTGATCTTGTGTTTTCGTTTCGGCGCGTTGTGTGTCAAACAAGAGCAGCGCTCTCCTCACAATATGTGCGTGGAGCATGTTTGTATAGTCTACAGCAGTTGGCGCCCGGAGATTAGCAACATCAATTTTCGAGGCGACTACTACATGAGGCTTCTTTGGTGGCGCAGCAATCGAAGGCGGAAGTTGTTTTCGGAGTTTGTGTGGGCTCCCACTGCTGGGCTGGGTCTGTGTTTCTCAGTCATCGTTTTTTTCTTGTGTTTTGCGACAAGTTTTTATTCTCCTTCGTCCTAACTCTGATGGCGTTGCGAGCGCCAACTTGTAGATAGTCAGCGAGGCTGAGAGGGGCGCATTGGGGGGGAGGGTTAGATTTTCTCTCACTGGCTTATACTACAGCATACAGTACAGTTCTAGACGTCGTGTACGTGCGTGCATAACAACGGCGGTACAATAGAGGAGAGAATTGGCGGTCTAGAAGAAGTACACATTGCGGGAGAGGAGGTGGTACAAGTTTTTCGCAGAGGCTAAACGAATACTGCGAAGTACTATGTAATGCATGGACTACAGAAAAATCCCGAGGAGAAAGTTTGACTTGCGTACGTTGATTGTACTTTGCATTAGTCGTGTCCGCCTTGTTCATGATGCATTCAAAGATCCCTCGATTTGAAAGCGATGACACGCACGCCCAGCACGCGATCCATCCGTGGGGTAATGTCACAGCAATACCGCTGGTATTTTCTTTTGCATGCTGGCGCCGCGAAACGTGTACTAGCATGGACCGCGTGAACCCGCCGTGACCAATTGGTTCCGTCACCACACGTTGAAGTATGACATGATACGTCGGTGCATGATGAGCCGGCCCTGGCGCGGCCCGCGTCGGTTCGTACCGCCTCTTCTGTGTTTTCCGGGGATGGTGTCATAACATCCCCTGTCGCGCGCGATGGGAAAGCTGGCATCTTTGGTGTCATCTCTGCTCTCTCCCCAGACCCCAGACCCACACACCGGGTGACACCATGGGGAAGCGGACGAAGGGACAAGATCGCGACAAGTACTACCGCTTAGCCAAGGACCAGGGCTTCCGTGCGCGTTCGGCGTTTAAGCTCATCGAGGTGGGTGGGTGTGGCAGAGAAGTGTCCTGGAGCAACACACGCGGCCCAATCGCGCCACTTTTTGTGTGGCCGGCACACGCTGATCTTCCTGCTGCTGTGTGCCTGGACAGGATAAGCCACCTTGGCGGGCTGGGCCACGCAAGGGTACAGCCTTACCGTCCCTCATTATACCGTCCCCCACGTGGTGTGTGTTCGTTGTCGTCTTACCACCAACGTGTGCTGCTGCCCTCTCTGTCTCTCGCTGATTCTGCTGCTGCTGCTGCTGCTGCCCGCAGATCAACAAGAAGTATGACTTCCTCAGTTCGGCCAAGGTTTGCATCGACCTGTGCGCTGCCCCCGGCGGGTGGTGCCAGGTGGCCGCCAAGCACATGCCTCGCGGGAGCATCATCCTCGGCGTGGACCTGCTGCCCATCCGCCCCATCCCGAACGTGAAGACGCTGGTTCACGACATCACCACGGACGAGTGCCGCACGGCCCTCAAGCGCGAGATGCAGACTTGGAAGGTGAGAGTCATGACCTGATCGGCGCTGTGTTGTACGCAGAAGTTGCAGCTCATGGGCAGGGCATCACCGCATACGCAGCTGGCGGCAGAATGCCTGGCGATTCAGCGCCCGCGTTTGCTGCTGTGTCCCCCATCCTGGGCATGAAGTACTTTGATATCTCTCCCTTCTTGGAGTTGTATGTCGTACCATATTTTTCTTTGAGTGGCTGCCACGGGTGTTTCGTGCCATAGATCGCGGAAGATATCACACCCTATGGACCGGCTTGAAGAGCTCGATCACATGCAAGCAGGTGCCAAAAAGCAAACGATACGGTGTCGAAAAACTCTCAACGTGGCGGTCCATGTGCCGCCGCTGTCGGCACTGCCATTCTGCTGTGGAGAAATCGAGCTTTGAAAATCGGTCCAAGACGGGGAGGGTGGTAATTGGCGTCACGTACGGTGGCAACACCGCTCACGGTGTCCCTGCAGTAGGCGCTGCCAACTCTTCAGTGCTGCAACAATACTTCTCTGAGACACGAGAGATACCCTCTGGCCCTCAGTTGCGGTGCTGTGTATCAGCACCTCCTCAATACTCGAAAAAACACGCCCTGACATCGTCCAAGTAGGAACAGTTTAGGCCTTGTACTGTTTATTTCCACCAATCGAGGTGCATGCGTTGCTTCGTGATGGCGAGCCCCCGTACAGATTGTGTCGCTTGTTTTTTTCCGGTATTGTTCTCCACCAATAGGCGCGTGTGGTGGTTTGCCGCGGCGCGCCCCGGCGTGCAAACACCACTTTCGCTTCTTTTTGGGAGTATTGTCGTCGCCAAATCAGGTGGACGTGGTGCGTGTTCAATAATGGCGCACCCCAATGAAGCCTAAATGCTTCGCATGAAAAGGCGGCAAGTGATAAATAGACTAGGGTAGGGGAGACATTTTGAGCCACCTTTGGCAAAGTAGCAAGGAACGATTGGCAACCGGTGACCGATCCTCCGGCCCTGTCGGAACAATGCTCCTCCTTCTCGAGAACGCGTGGTCAAGCGCCTAACCGCTTAAAGGCACGCAAAACATAAGCTTACGCCCATCAAGCCTACATGCTTCGCATGAAAGATATTTGTTTGTTATTTTTCTTCGGGAAACCAGGCGGATGTGGTGCCCCGTCACCGCGCGCCGCCGCACGCAAACACTATCGCTTCGTTTTTGAAGCATTGTCGTCGCCACATGAGGTGGACACTTCGCCAACAGCGTGCTCCCACCAAACCTAAATACTTCTCGTGACAAGACGTACCCTTTGTTTTTTTTTCCCTTGGGGAACCAGGCGGATGTGGTGCTCTGCGACGGTGCGCCAAACGTGGGTACCGCCTACAAGAAGGACGCCTACGAGCAGAACGAAATCGCCCTCCACGCGCTGCGGGTGGCCACGCAGCACCTCAAGAAAGGGGGTACCTTCGTGACCAAGGTTTACCGGTCCCAGGACTACAACTCGCTCATGTGGGTCATCCAGCAGTTCTTCGAGGAACACCAGGTGAGCACATCATATCGTGGCTGCAAGCAGCGGCATGGTGATATCTTCTTGCTCGCAGCAGTGGTTATTGGTCGCCCTGTATCAGGCAGGATTTCGGTCTTGGGATGATCACTGTTGTTGTTGTTGTCTTGAACATTGAGAAAAATTCCCGTCTCCGCTCAGTACCTTCTAATGTCCGTACTGGTCCAACTGACGCGGACATCTTCCGTGGTCACAAGCCAACTACCCGACAATGGGATGCACCTTTCCAAAACAAAAAAAAGAAATGCATAAGAACCAGGTTTATCCTTCAAACCCGGCAACCGCATTTCACAACAATGTTGGTTGCCCGGTGTATGGTCGGTGAGTTCGCATGACACCGAAGAGATACTGCTATTTTCTCTCTCATATTATTAATAGCTGCATTGTGCCCGTTGGCAAAAAGACCGACCAAATCCCTTGGCATATTTCGGCCTTTAACAGGGACGAGCTACTGCTGTAGGCTTCATGTGTAGCAGGTCTCTTTCGGGTGGCACGTCCTTTATGTACCAACGCTGCCGGGGTTTTTTGTTGTTGCACTGGCTGCAGCCTGCGAAGCCGGCATCGGGTCGCAGTCAGATAGGAGAGATGTGAACAACTCTTCGCGTGTCCCGTCGGTAGCACGCTCTTTCAGTATGGCTGGCAGCACGCATTACATGAGTACAACTACAGAATAGGAAATCACCACTCAGGAAGAGCACCTTCCACATCCCTTGAATAGCGGGTCTGTTCATGTGGAACACCGGACCACTTTATAAATTCAATCTGGTCTCAAAGTCCTTTACAAATTCGGCTTCGTGCTGCCTGTCTTTCATACCGTCGCCGCTGTTTTTTTTTTTTTTACCACCTGCAGGCTGTGAAGCCCGCCTCAAGTCGAAGTCAGTCGGCAGAAATCTTCGTGGTCGGCCGCAACTACAAGGCTCCCGACTTCATTGACTCCCGCATGCTCGAGCCGAAGCATGCCTTCCGACAGGACTACGACGTCGAAGGTGAGTCCGAACGGTCTTGCGTTATCGTATCGGCAACTCAACTATCAGGGTATGGGCGGGTCGATATTGTGGAATGTACGCATACGTGCAAAAGAGAGTCGACATCGATTGCCACGGCCGTAGTATAGACGCCACCGTTCAAGATATACCGCAAGGTTGCGAGTCAGCGCACAGGGGTGCGAACGATTTTCAAAGCGTCATTTCTCCACAGCCAGGAGGTTACCACTGTGTCGAAAAGGGCAGTTTTGGAAATATCTCATCGAGAGCTTTCCTGAGAAGTATCAGTTGGAGCTCGCACCCTTCTGGTTGTGGAGAAATTACGCTTTGAAAATCGATCGCACCCCTGTGCGCTGACTCGCAACCTTGCGGTACTTGAGTAGCGCAAGTAAGGGAATATGACGTCGAATGCCAGTCTAAGCGACCTCGCGTTGTGGTTTATTATAGATTTGGCCTGCTAAAATACCGGTGATATCTCGTGACAGACGAATATTTAGGTTGTTTTATACGGTAAGTAATGTTGTTAAAAGGGGCTGGCACCTGCCGGCATGATAGCGGAAACATTGCTGTATTCTCATCGTTTAGGAGAAGGGAAGGTTTCTCACCCTCGCCGTTGCTTGCTCTTTGGAGGAGAATCATTGTGCACCATGCCGTGTAGCGTATGAAACATTGCCGCTGCTGCTGCTTGCGATTCCGCCGCAGGAGGTCAGAAGGGTCTGTCGATTTTTCACAAGAAGTACGATCAGCACAACAAGCGTCACCGTCAGGGGTACGCGGACGACCTGGGCATGAGTCTCAGCAGGGTTGCAAAGGTCGGTTTTAAGAAGCAGTAGTTGGTGGTTTTTCGCAGGCGTTTGTTGAATGTGACACAGCGTCCAGGACACGAGCCTGCAACGTCTTGTCCGTTTGCCTTGTTTGTAGAAAGGAACTAGTTTGGGGGGCGGTTCTGTACCTAGCAGCCGTTGGTTTACACTTCATGAGTTTTGAACGGGCTGCTCGACAGTCTGAGCAGCAGAAATGTGTGGGGTGTTGGGGAGTGTTGGAACCCATGCTGGCGTTGGTTAAAGCTCCCAGGCGTTGATTTGTACTTGGTTGCGTTCGAAGCGGACATCAACGTTTATTGCGAAACAGGAAAAAGCTTCCAGAGGGCCTTGCGTTATTTAAAAGGATGAGATTCTCTACTAAACTGGGGGATGAAGGGGAAAAAAACTATCTACAGTAGATGTTTTCTCTTTGTTTTGCACACTTTTTCCTGTCTTTGCAGATCTTTTTAGAGAAGCAAAACGCAAGGATGACGTTTTATCCCATAATTCATTCGCAGTGAAACCGCCGACGCTCATGCGCCCTGCCGGGCTGTGTTCGAGCCTGGGGCCCAAACTTCCTTGGATGTCTGAGCGTTTTGCCTCTTGTTGGAGCATTTGTATATATGTGTGCAGCAGAAACTTTCGCAGGGAACTAGAACCTCGCGATCGATATTTTATTACTGCCGAAATAACTTCATTCGCAGCATTACTCTATAGCGTGTTTTTTTGGTTGAAACATGTTTCATAATTTTTGCCCTGGACCAGATAGATCGCCCCGGGTTACGTAGAATGTGTCGTGTTGCATTGGATATTTCGATGTATCCTTATTCATGTGTTGAGTGCTCTTTTCGGTACACGGAAAATATATAGTCCAACTGTCTACTCTTCGGGAACGAGTTAGCATTGGTACATTGCCGACTACGCTTGTAGCTAACGCCCAGTATGTATCCATGTCCAGTGCGCGTATGTACGACCAAAAGCAAAGAATCTTCTAATTTATTTTCGTTTTTTTTTAGTGTACTTGGCCCAAAGTGATGGCCGAAACGTTGAACGGAGGCAATAGCGCGAGGATGACGTTTTTTCCCATAATTCATTCGCAGTGAAACCGCCGACGCTCACGCGCCCTGCCGGGCTGTGTTCGAGCCTGGGGCCCAAACTTCCTTGGATGTCTGAGCGCTTCGCCTCTTTTCCTCATTAGTTTTTTTTTCGATTTTCAATGTTTCGCTTCATTTTGCTGTAAGGTGGCGTTCAGGAGAGCAAAGCTTGAAGACTTGACCGCAACAAGATTGTGAATAGTTCCGAAGAGATGTGTCACCGTACCTATCTCTTGCCATGCAGGTCTCCGACTTTGTAAACGCGGGAGACCCTGTGTTCCGTTTAGAAAAGCAGATCTTGACAGCAAGAAGATTGTTGTGATGAAGAGATGTGTCACGCTACCCAACTCTTGGCATGCAGGTCTCCGACTTTGTCAATGCGGAAGACCCGGTGAGGGTGCTCACTGACACACACGTGCTGGAGTTCGGTGCGGATTGCCAAGTGTTTAAGGACCACCGGGCAACCACCGCTGAAATTCAGCACCTTTGCTCAGGTGAGATGATGGTTTTTGCCGATGGTATTCTACCGGTGGGTATCATCGTGTCCGCCCTCTTGGCGCGTCGGTTCAATGCAGTAGACTCGCAGGATGCTTGGATTATGTACACATGATCAATAGAGCATGCAATCGGGGAAGTTTTGTTCGGGATAGGGATAAAGTCTACGCACCCCCTCCCCGTTATTTTCCTCAGGATCTTCCTTTCGTCGCGAATGCGGTCCGTACAATGCGAGGACATTATCTCATTCAGGAACGTTTGCAATACAGAAGGGCTTCGAAAGGGTCATGTTAGGGAACACAAGGCCCTGTTGAGCCTCCCTGCACGGCTCTGAGCCTGACCGTCCTCGCGCGGCCTGCGGGCATGTGTCAAGCGATTTCACGCGCACTTGAGCGGGCTCCGGCACTAATGAATGTCTTAACCGTCTTGAATATTTCACCTGTGCCAAGATATATGACCCGCACTATAGAGGGCCCGCCATTAAAGATATTTTCGGAAAACAGAACAGAAAGGGAGAAAGTAGATCCAAATTCCTTACCCAACCCAAACTCCCTCAAATACATGTTTTTCGCAACATGTTTACATGATACTCCGTGAAAAAAGCCTGCGAGAGCTACTGCAAATGATTTCGGGGTGACGCGGTTTTATGTGCGCACCCGCCTTTTTGCCGCCAGTGATTATGATCTTGATGACGAGTCTGACAGCTGGAGGCAACAAGATTCAGGGCGAGACGTTTTGTCGGACCCTGTTTTTACGCCTTCGGCGCCCTCTGATTATCTAACGAGGCATTTGTATGAGGCAACGGCAATCGTGAAAAATATCACGTAGTGTTTGTTTAGCATTCCTTTCGTGTAGTACCGGCTGAAAACCATCCAAAACTACTGTTATGTTTGCAAAGGTGTAAATTGCACACTTGCGAATAACACGCACATGGCAGATCGCTGCGGGTGTCTATGCTCTCCTTGGGTGCAAAATATATGGACGGCCAACAGCTTTTTTTCTTGTCAGCCATCAGCCAAAGCAAGCAACAACAATGCTAAGCGCTGGTCTTTGGCGCCATGGTATTTCTGCTGAAATTGTAGTTTCACGTGATACAGCCAGCGCTTACCCTCTCCTGTGCGACCCTGCATGGTTGTAGTTTCACGAAAAGATGCACAAACGTGTAAATCTCGGCATGCACTGAAGAGTGTAATACACGAAAAATGGGGGGACTGTCGCTAAAAAATATGTGGGACGAAAATACACCACACAAAACCCTGCCCCACGGTTACGAAGTTACTCGATTCGACAGGGGTAGTGTTGATTTGATCTCCTACCTGCCGCTCCCGTGGATGTCAGTCTGCCGCCAGTGATTATGATCTTGATGACGAGTCTGAAAGTCGAAGGCAACAAAAGTGAGGGCGAGACGTTTTGTCGGACCCTTGTTTTACGCCTTCGGCGCCCTCTGATTATCTAACGAGGCATTTGTATGAGGCAAAAGGCAAGCATGGCGTTCATGAATGGTTTAGTTTTATTGTGGTTGTCTTTGACCTTTTTATTCTCACGGCGTATGCTCAGAACCTTCAAACGGTCTCAAACAAAGGCACTTCCGATATCTGTCCGAGGGACATGAATGCCGTCATCGCCGGCTTTACACGCTCCGTTGCATGCAGGTACGGATGCCTTCCGATGTGCTGTACCACTTGTGACTTTTGCTTTTTATTCTCGCGACGCGGACGGACTTGACTACCATCCATGCCGTAGGTGTGCGTCAAGAAAAATTAAAACCAACCGTGGAGCCCCCGTCGCCTTGCGATCCGCCTTGCGAAACGGACAGCCCCGATGTTCTAGTTGCTGTGACAAAGGCCCTTGACCCTTTTGTTTCGGAGCCCCCTGTAATAATGCCGATTTAACCAACTTGACAAACAGCGGGACCCAGTCCGCGACAATCGAGGTCGACTGTTTTATTGAAGCCCCCTCTTCAAAGGTAACGCGGCCGCGACTGTAGGTCTAAGCTCGGTTGGGGGGGGGGGGGCAGGGCTTACTCGGCATTGTGGCGACCGTCACTGATCATATAAACCAAGTATTAGCATTTGACAAGACCATCGAGACCTCCGTATGGTTGGGGGACGCTATTGAGTTTCTGGGCTCTTGACAACGCCTGCTTGGTGGATGCGTCAGCACCGTTTGTGCGCGAACGTCGCGAATCACACCCCCATCCAGGAGGCGTTGTGACATGTTAAGAAACTCAATAGAGTCCCCCAACCTACGGAGGTCTCGATGGTCTTGTCAAATGCTGAACGCTTGGTTTATATGATCAGCGACGGTCGCCGAAATGCCGCACAAGCATTGCACCACCCCCTCCCGCGCGGCCCGTGGACGACGGTTTGGGTGCTTTTCTTCCATCACACCAAAACGGCAGAGGCTTGGCTGGTTCCCATGTCTCGACCGTCGCATACGGCCCAAACCAAGCCGTAAGTACTTGGGAAGGATCTTGGTCTCATCTCCTGAGGTTGAAAGACTCCCCCGAGTCTGTTGGCTTTCTGCACCGTTGTCCGCGCATCAACGGTTCCGACGCATTTTCCCAGGGGGCGTTGCCGAGAGGCCATAAATTCATAAAGAGTTCGCAACCCCCATTACGAGGTCTTTCTTGATGCTCCCGTCTTCGTTCAGACGATAAGACATGGCCGCTCAAGCGCCCCCTACCCCCCCCCCCCCCCCTCGGCGCTTGGACAACGGTAGGGCCTCGTGTAACACATTTTTCCGGCATTCTCGAGTGTTACAGTCGTGGCTGCCATATACAGTATACGATACAAGATTACACACACCCTGGACCGATTTTTAAAGCTCGATTACTCCACGACGAAGGGGATGCATAAACGAAACGATACATTTTCGGGGAAAATCAGTTATCGGTAAAGCGACTTCAGCGACGCCAATTTCGGCGTTGTGACTCTCTCTGTTTCGAGAAATCGAGGTTTTTCAATCGGGTTCGGCGGGGGGTGTTGTGTCGTATACGGTAGGAGGTTGGTGTGTCGAAGGTCCTCTAGTATATGGGAGTGCCCTCTTATGACGGGACAAGAGGGTGAAAAGCCTGTGTCACATTACCCCTGATTTTGGTACCGCGGTACGTACACAGGCGGAAGAGCACATCCGTGTGAACGGAATCGCGTTGGGCGTGTCGGCTACGATTTACGTGGCGGACACATGACGCCAATGTGGGTGTACCCTTTTCCGTTCGTGGGGATCGGAGAACTTTTCCCTTCCAGTGGTGTCCTGTTAGCGCGGCATGTAGTCTGCGCTCTCGCCGCTTCGGGGTGACCTTCTGGGCGGAGCCGTGCACGTTTGAGCTTTCTGGTTGAGCGTAATGAAATATGTGTTGATGATGACGAACACTTCCTTTTGTACGCTGAAACGTCAAACCTCGATCGCGTACGACTCAGCCCAGTACGTCACACCGAGGCGGCTTAAGCGCAGGCTACATGCTGACGCGAAAAGGGCACCGATGAAGGGTTACGTACCCCGACCATAACGAACGGAAAAGGGTGCGTACCCGACAACGCGCAATTGTGTCCAAGCCGGTGTTCAGTCTCTGTCACCGGTTGAGCGTGCTTGGCGAAAAATACTCGAAACAGCTGTTGATCATACATGCCCCAACACATAATTTCACGTACGTGTACCTCCCTTTTTTTCTCTGGCATCATGACCACCTAGCGCGTGCTAAGCAAGGAAGTAATCATTATTTAATTACCTACTTTTTGTGTATACCTTTATTGTCCCTGGCGCTACATAGACCTTCGGGTGCTGGGGAAGGGAGACTTTAGGCACCTCATCAAGTGGCGGATGCGAATGGTCAAGTACCTCGAGGAGCTGAAGGCATTGGAAGGCGAGAGCGGGGACGAGGGTGATGAAGAGGGGGAGGGGGGGGAAGGGGGTGACGCAGCGGAGGTGCCCATGACGGAGGAAGAGAAGGAGGAGGAGGTCCAGGCGGAGATCAGGGCACTACAGTAAGTTTTTTTTCGTTCGTCATTTAATTTCGTAGTGGCGTCATCAGAGTTCGGGCTTGTGGCGGTCGGAGCGCTGTAGTTGTTGCAACTTTTCTCTGATTGCCTAAAAGTCATGGCCGAACTGTGTCTCTGAACAGGGTCCACGTAAAGCATGCTCTGTTTGTTCGTCGTCTGTCTGCGAACATCCTGTACCATTCAGGCGTGTGGTTGGACGATTTTTCGGGGCCACGCGGACAGGAATCCCCCGCTTTTTCGTCGCCTCTGACATGCCGATAGTCTTGCTGAGCCACCCTTTCCCCAAGACGCAGGCACCCTTAGGTTGGTGGGCAGCATAGGTTTCCTCCAACTCGTCCCTCATGTTGTTCTTGTTCTTTCTTTGCTTGGTTTGGTCGGGCTTGATTTTTACGGTGCAACTCTTTTTTCTCTTTTTTTGTTCTGCCAGGCTCAAGGCACTGGCTCAGCGGAAACGGGTCCGCAAGAAGGAGCGCGAGGCTGCCGGGCGGCTCCGGTCCCGCGTGGCAATGGGGATGGAGAACACTGCGATCGACCTACCGGACGAGGAGGGGGTGTTCTCGCTCGCGAGCATCAAGGTGAGGGTCAGCTCGTAGACAGGCATGAGTAGGCTCAAGCCCTCCACAGTTGGTGGTTTGGTTTTAGCTATGTGTCCTCTGGAGAAAAACTGTGAACGGTTTGTAGCCAGGGCGGCGCCAATGTGACGCTTGAGCTCTCACAAATTTACATGTTTTTGTGTGGAGTCCTTTACCTGGCTAGCTTCCAAGGCTGGCACACAAGCACACACAGGATACAATATTTGATACCCCTTAGACTTGGTTTTATTGCTTGTTTTCTCAACACCAGCAATACTCACGGCGCCGAAAATGATGAAGTTGAAACCGTCTCTTCGAGAGCTTTACGAGAATGTATTCGTTTCGCCCTCGCGTCCTGTAAGCGCGGCGTAATCTAGCTTTGGAAATCGGTCCAAGGTGTGTGCCATCTTGCGTCGTATACGGTGCTGTTGGCGACACTAGATATCACACACCCTACACGTCTTTGCAGAGCTCCTCAACTACCTCCACGACGAAAAATACTCGCATTTCCGAACGACACCATTGGACATTGTTCCCTGAGACTGTTCCTTTGGCGATATTTCCTGCCACCACTTATTTTTGGTCTGTGCAGAAATGGGACCCATGAAAATCAAATCAGGGGACGTAATATGTCGTGTCTCTCCGGTTGTTTTTTAAGTTTTTATTGAGGAGAAATATAAGCGTGCTTTTCCTAGGGATAGCCCAACAGACAGTCGGGTCGCTCTAACGCACGACATGGGGAGGATTGCCGTGATCGAATAAATTCCGGCGAACGTGTAACTCATGAACGATAATATATGTTGATTTTATTGCATACCATGGTAGCTATTATAATTGGATTATTTTTTGGATTCTTGGAGTACAAGCTGAGGCAAAAAGAGGCGCAGTAAGGCGAGTTCGGTTGTTTGATGACACAAAGCAATTCATCGGGACTCGATGATTCTCCTCTTCGTTATTTCCGCAGATGTGAATTGCCTGTTGGCCATCAGGGCGTATTAGCCATCAGGGCGTATTAAGCTGTATCATCTCCCCTGAGGGATGGGTTATTGATGAAAGTCTTGATCCCGGCAACATCAAAACCGTTACATGACGACAAGTCGGGAGAAATGATGTCGACCACATGAGCGATTGTACCGCTTACAAGCTCTCTCATTGTTGAAGAGACTTTGTCGACACCGTAGCTGAACGTGAAATATTTCACGGTTCACCCTACGGTGTCTACCACGTCTCTACAAGAATGACGGGGCTTGTCAGCGGTACAATCGCCCACGTGTTCGACGTCGGTTTTTTCTCGCGGAAACGCTGTCATACACGGGTTTTGCATGTCGCCGGGATGAAAGGTTTAATCTGAACGCATCTCTCCATGAAGAAGCTGGACGTACTGATGTCGATGACAAACAGAACACGATGCCTTTTACGGTAAAGATGAGGACGTTGCGGTCGCTAGGTCCTTGATGGGCGTGCACCATGAGTTACACAAGATGCCACACCCCTTGTATCGATTTCCTATATTGCGGTAGGTGTTCTGTACCTACCGTCATGGTGGGTGAAACAAATACCACACCCCTTGAACCTTTTTCCTATAGCCTAATACCGTGGGTTTCCCGTACCACACCACGATCTTGCATGAAGAAGATTATGCCGGTGCGGTTGAACGTAGGGATGCTTGTGCTCGTTGCACGAAAACCGTGATTCTAGTTCGTGCGTGTTACACAGCCGTTTTTTCTCCCACCCACTGTACAGATTTACCCCGTTCCCTTGACTGGGGTTGTATCTCAGATGGGCAGTTGCTTCGGTTCCATGTATGTGTTGAAAAAATACCTCAACATTTCTGCAAATGCACGGAAATAATTCCGATGTTTATCGTGTAACTTGTCGCCGCAGACCGGGGGCGATCTGGAATCGATTCGTGACGTGGACTTGTCCAAGCTGGAGTCCTCTGCCATGGACGTGACTGTCGACAATGAAGAGGAAGAGAGTGGCGCCGAAGATGGTTCTAGCGACGAGGACGATGACAGGTGCAAGAAGACAGACAGACAGCATCGCGGGATATCTCTCCTCCAAAGCACAACGTACACAAAAGTTAATGTAACGAGTGACTGGTGCAGAAACAGAGCATTGTGAGATATGTCTTTCATAAGACACAGCCGCAACGAGTACCATATCCGGGACTACTTGAGCACATCCACGAGCGCGACTGGTCGCGTTCTGCGTTGATCATCTGGCCAAGTGATCATGGCCATCCGCTGCACCGCTGTTGGGTTACCCGTTAACGAAATCAGCGATGATGGCCAGGCCAAGTTTTCGGGTGGTGATTTCTGTCTGATGATTGATCGGATACAAAACCTAAAGTGCAGCGATGCTGACGATGCTTACACTTGTTGTGAATAATGAATCGGGTTCATTATATGACTGCAGCGATGCTGAGGACGTCAAGCTGGAAGCCCACCTTGCGGAGGGGTACCTCCGTTTTCTTCAAGCGAAAGACGAAAACCGGCGAATGGAGGGCACGAGGCTGGCCAAGCGGAACAAACAAGCCAAGGTCAGGAAGAAGAGTACCGCGATTGTTCCCGTTCATGGTTGTGTATTGTACGGTACTTGACTTGGAATGTTTCCGTGTACCTCGTGCCTATAGTTTTAGTTTGCAGGTGTGCACGGGACGAGGCTAGACAAATAAACAAATAAGAGTCAAGTTGAGGAAGAATAGTACGGCGATCAATGCACGTTTTTCCGGGTCACGGTACACGACACATTGTACGGTGGTCTTGTAGCGAAACAACAAAGCTCCGGTGAGATTGAAATATGTAGACCGATGGGTGCACGATTATTTCGGTTTTTCTACCGGGCTAAACTTTCGCAGTTGCCCTCTTATCGCATCGTTTCCGTTGATTAATGACACCGGACACCCATTGCTGTATCTTGGAACAACACCACGTACGATAACGGTATCGGGTAGAAAACTACACGGAACGAATGACGAACCGTAGACCCATGAATAAACGGCACATCACGCGCCTGTACCATGGAACCAAGATCCCGTACGACAAACGAACGGGACGGGACAGTTTCGCGGAACACCCGAACAAGCAAGCACACTCCCTTCCCCTAGTCCTCTTGGGCGACGATGGAGGAAGTTTTTTTCGTTTGCGACATTAATCGGCGTCTTCGTTGTGATCCGAATTCCGGAAGCCTTGCCAGAACACTTCCACGCAAGGAGACTTACGAAGAGCCGCACATTTGCTAAGAGGGATGGTCGAGTCGATACGACTCACTCTGCCCACGGGCAGAGTTTTCAGAAGTCCCTCTTTTCTTTTCTTCTAGTGTTGATTTGGGGTATCATTTCGCAATCGAGTGGCGTGAGTCGGCCAGTCGTGAGTTCACACCGTAGGACGGCAGAGATTCGCACTTGCCAACTTTTTGTTAAGGGTTGACAGATTTATAAGGAACCGTTTTCACCTTTGGAGGCACGCCGACCATGCAAGGCGTTCATGTTGTCAAACGACACACACACGGTACAGCTAGTTATAACACGAGGTCCTCAGGCCTGTTCCGTTGTGTTTAACCTCCTCCGCCATGCCTTGGCATCTTTTGTCGTGCCAAATCACACACGCGAACACCATTGACGGCTGAAGGGAACTGTTGTTGTTGACGTTGTTGTGATGCCTGTAGGCGGCCAAAGCGGCAGAAGAAGAGATGGAAGACATGGCCCTTTACGACGGCGACCAGCAGCGTTACCTTCAGCTCCTCGCTAACGGCGGAGAAGAAGAAGTAGGCATCGATGCCAGCGATGTCGACAGCAGCGACGACATCAGCGACGACGACGATAGCGATGACGACGTGAGAGATAAACTGAGCTCCAGCGTGTCTCGGGCCGTTGGGCGAGGCAAGCGCGGTAGGGGCGCCATGGGAGCGTCGGCGGTGGTTTCGGATCCGAACCCGCTCATGGCGGAGATCGGGTCGAAGTCGGAGCGTAGGCAGGCGGCGGCGCAGCGGTGGTTTAGCGACCCTCTGTTCGCCGGCATCGACGACACCCTCGAGGGTGGCGAGGAGGAGGAGGAGCAGGAGGCGGACGATAAGGCTTCTGGCGTTGTGCCACCTTCGAAGAGAAAACGAGGCAGCGGGGAGGAAGACAGGGCGAAGCGAAGAGGGGCAGCAGGCGAAGAGCTTGGTGCTGCGGAGGCCCTGATTGCGGCAATGCCAAAGACGGATAAGGAGAAGCGCAAGGAAAAGAGAAAGAAGGCAAGAAGCTACTTCGATTTTGGTTCTGTGTTGATTCTTTCTTGATTTCGTATATAAACAGTAAACTGGTTCCGACGTTTTCGTTGTTTTGTGTTATCTTGAGAATTAGAGCGAGATACCGGGCTGTTGATTTTGTTTCGGGTCATATTGAAGATGACTGGTTTTGCCGTCCCTTTTCGTGTGTTCCTTCTTATAAGTAGGCAAGCGGGATTTTTTCAGGGCGTAGAACGTCGGGGCGACTTTTCCAGGATCTCCTCCTTTTTGCTCACAAGGGGCTGTTACCGTCAGCCCCTTGCGAACCACCTCGGGCGTTGTTGCGGGGAGGGCGAGATGTGTGTATAGATGGAGAAATCAATCCTGCCTAATGACCGGCAGACGGTTAACTAAGAAGAGAAACACAAGATTCGGTGATGTACATGATTTTTTGTTGCTCTTCGTCGTTAGCCGTCTGCCGGTCATCTAGCAGGATTGATTTCTCCATCTATACACAGATACTTCCTTCGCGGTATGTGAAATGGAAGGACGACCTACCGTATGTCGGTACAGTCGGTGGCGCCGATATAGAAGGGCGTTGTGACAAAGACCCTGGACCCTCTTCTATCGGACCTCCCCCTTTTTATACCGGCTCAGATGTGAAGAACAAGGGCTGCTGCGTGTTTGGTATTGGTTGTCTTGGAGGCATAGAGAATGTTGTGGGGTCAGTTGTTCGGTGCTGTGAGTTTTTTGCGGTAACGACTTTAGCGAAAGCTGTATAGAAAAAAAAATATATCGCGGTACTGTAATATGTCACGGCCGGAAAATTGAACATACAATTTTCGCCCACGTTCAATGAACCTCTATTTTGGACGAGGCTTTTGGGTTCTGAATTTGTGGAGTCGTGGTACGAATTTCCGCTGTGTAGATTCTTGTGTAGGAGTGCTGGACCGAGCTAAACACGAATGGGGCTCAAGATCAAGATCCCTCAAGGTTTTTTCAAGTGGCTCGTTTTCTGTTTTGTTTTGCCGAGGTCGAGCGTCGGCGCCAGCTACTGTTAACAACCGTTGGTGTCTTTTCCAGGCGGCCGAGCGTAAGGAGCGAAAGGAGAGCAAGAACAGCAAACGCATGGGGGAGGATGGCATCGCCGATGACGACCTCCAGGTCGTCTCCGGAGAGCGCGACCTCGAGAACCTGGACCCCAAAGAACGGGTGAAGCTCGAAAAGAAGCGGGGTCTTATTCGAGCCGGTATGGGTGCGGCTGCCGATGAGGCGGAAGACACCGGGTTTGAGGTCGCGAAGGCGAGCGGCGCGGCCATGGCGATGTTGGGGAAGCGGTACAAGCCCAAGTTTGCGGTGGACGGGCTTGATGTGGAGGACGACAGGGACTACGGCTCCGACCAGGTTGGTGGAAATAGGAAGGAGGCGTGTTTTTTTAGGGTTGTATTTCGCGAACCAGTCCCGTGAAATGACCAATTCGCTATTTCGACAGAAAACATCTCGACGCGCGGGCTTTCGAGCAGCCGGACTCATGAATTCGGTTACGCTACTCGATGGTCGTCGGTTCTGATATGCCGCGTAGCTTTTCCATTATTTTTGAGTGTGTTTGTTGGGCTTACCATTTTTCACAGCAACAAATAAAGGTTTTGCATAAATATGGTCGTATATGGGCGGTGCCAATGATTTCACTACAAGATGACGAGTATGATAGCGGGGGAGCAATGCGGACTCGGGTAAGGCGTTTTGCCGAGCCCTTGTCTGTGCGCCTCCGCGCCCTTTGATTAACATACGAGGCATTTGTATGAGGCATCCGATGCAACAACACCTTCGACGTTCCTTATCTCTCCAGCCTATCCGTTGATGAACGGTTGTCGGTCTTGTTTGGCTTGATTGAGGAGGTATTGACTATTTGTGTAGGTCGATCGTTTGGCACCAACGAGCCGTACGACGGCCAGCACTGTGCTCAACAGCATATCCCTGAGGACGATCATATTCCGTGAGGAAAGCAGCATCATATCGTACATGACTTGGTAAAACCTGTTTGCGACACTTGGGTCTTTGGCACCCTTGGCCGCGCGGCACCGGCGGCATTGAGTACTTCCGCAGCACGACGACCCTCTGAAGACAAGCAGCGTCATGCATGACTTTCCAATCCCTGTTGCCTGTTGTGGGTACATTCTTTTGGCATCTACAGGAGCCGTATGACGACGAGGACCGTGCAAGGCAGCTCGCCCTCGGCACGATGATGCTCCGAAAGCACCGTGCGAAGGAGATGGTTGACGCGGCGTACAACCGTTTCAGCTGGAACGACGACGCTGACCTTCCTGATTGGTTCGTCGACGACGAAAAACGGCATTACCGACCACAGGTGAGGCGCAAACCCCAGCTATCGTTATGTTAATCCATCACAGCTTTTTAACCGTTTCTATGCCCTCACCCGCCGGTTTCACTTCTGTACCTGCTCTGTCGTACCGTTCCTGCATCTGTTTTCTTGGGGTGTTGGTCTTTAACCTCGCCTGATTTTACATAGCCTTGAATAGCGGCACGGCAGAGTGGTTCGAGTTTGTTTTACCACTATTAACTCAGCTCTCAGTGATACATGACAGCCTTGCACGTTTGTACAATCTAACCCACCCTTGCTTCCTGCCCTTTCGTGTAATTTGCCATTTTGCGTTGTGCTTCGTTGTTGCCCAAGGTGCCGCTGCCACCCGCACTCGTGGAGCAAATGAAGAACAAGTTCATGTCTCTGGCCACGAAGCCGATCAAGAAGGTGGCGGAAGCGCGAGCGAGGAAGCGTAAGAGGGCCGCCCAGCGACTTACCAACGCCAAGAAGAAGGCTACCGCCCTTGCCGCCAACCCAGGTGAGAAGGGCTTGGTTGTACAGCAACTACCGCTTTTGGTGGCGTCGTAGTTAGGGAGGTGTTGTCCTGTGTCATGCACGGCACGCCTCGCGCTCTTTTTTGATATCGGACCCGCGCAGTATCATGATACACGCTCGCCAATACGAGACATGCCGGGGCGACACGAAGTAAATTGTTTTGGGCTCAGGTGTCCCGTCCAAGTTACATCACCACCCAAGTAATGTGGGGGGGTGGGGGTCCGGACTGCCTACGAGACCGTAACCCCGACTCATCCGATTCGCTAGTTGTATGTTTCTATATAAAAAACTGCGTACAATAGACTTGTGTGATGTCGTGTGCAATAGAGACGGCACCCGTCTCTCTCTTGTCCATCATCTCGTACTCTTCCTTGATATCGGACCGTCGCTGTATCCTGTGCGCCAACACACCAGACATGTCGGAGCGGGAAAAGCTGAAGGCTGTTCAGCAGGCGATGAAAAAGGGAGCGAAACAGGACATCCCTTCCAAGGTTTACGTCGTGGCGGGCAAGGGGCCCTCCGGCACCAAGAAGAAGGGCGCCAAGATCAAGATGGTGGACGCGAGGATGAAGAGCGACACGAGGGGGGCGAAACGCTCGAAAGTCAAGCAGGCCACCGGAAAAGCGCCCAAGAAGAAGAAGGGCAAGGGGCGACAGGGCAGGCATTGATGATGTTTCTATGTTCCGCGATATGGTACTGGCGGCGTTCCATGTTGTCGATTGGCGTTGCTTCTGCGACATTTTTTTTTCTATGTACATGACGTCGGCAACTCGGAAACTAATGGTGGGAGATAGTCCCCCCCCGGCGGTGGCATTGCATGTTTTGTCGATGGGCTTTGTCTTTCGGGGGCGTGAGTATGTGCGTTTAGTCGGCATATTTCGACATTTAACATGACGTCAGAAACCACGTTCGAGAGGATACGCCTCAAGTTTTGTGGATTACCGGCGCTGTCTTGCTGTTTTGATTCCCGATAGCACAGCCGGTTGTATCGATGTAAGTATCGTGATAATGAGGAATTGAATCTGATGTGTTGAAATTTGTTGTAGTGATTCAGACGCCACAGCAGTCTCTCACGCGTGAAAAATCCAGGGCACGCCTAAAATGGTGACTGACTACTCTTTTTTGCCCGTTCTGTTGTGGAACACCATGTAATCAATGAAGGAATATGTTGGTAATTGTACTTCGTAAAAACACACCCGCATCACCCATGGAGACGTCTGTTGATGATGACAGACAGGATTGTGACACAGCGAGTGTCTCAGGGTATTTTTTTTCTTTGTCTTCACTTCAAATCAGCGCCTACAGCACTAGTAGTGCCGTTTACTCCATACTCCAACCCGTGGTCACACAGAAGGGCCCCTCTCTACCTTCCCTTCCTGCGGTACTCTGCCTTCGATTTTTTATGCGAGAAGAGTTCAACACTCTTTTCCCTCTGTGTACACACGAACTAGCGCTATCCACTAGGCCAGAAGCGGAAGCGAGAGAAAAATTCCCTTTGCAAGAAAAACTCGCTTACGACGAGATTAGAACCCCTAACCTGACCTTAAAAGGTTTCGAGGAGACCAACTGGACCACCGGGGTGATGGATGTCTCCGATTTTGAAGCGCTGCAATAAAAAGTTTAGTTTAGTCGTTCCGTCTTTGTTTTGTCATCCTAGTTGTCTTGGCGTCGGTGGCACCTTTCTGTTCAACTTTGGACGCACACAAGGAATTTTGTTCTGCCTTATGGATGCTTTTTCCTTCTCCGGTTTTGTCTTGGGTTTGCCTGGAGAAGTACTCGGCGATCTCTCTCCCTCGACCGATTTGTTTCCCACACAGGAAATATCGCTCTCCACATCATCTGTGTTCGGACTTTGTGCCAAAAATGTCAGTTGGTGTGGCTGACCTCACCGAGATTCGACCAAACTTTGAAAGGTCGCGAGCCTGCCTACTACAACTGAAAAGGAAAGACGGCCACTTGCATCGCGTAGATGAAACCACTCTTCTTGTATATTCGAGCGGACGGTCTCAGGTTTCTTCTCCACAACAAGCTAGGGTTGGTTGTTCGGTCGACGTCCTCGATATGAACGTCAAGACGTTCGAGAAGATGGTGCGCGTGCTGCTGCTGCCACGATGCGCTCTTTCTGCTGCGTGGTTTTGTACACAACAAGCCCTCTCGCGGGCTGGAGAAAATCGCGTCACTACATGAAAACGTCTCAGGCAGGAACCGCAGGAGGGGGTCCAACCCCCGTCCTCCTATGTGACGCCGGTTGGGTCGTCTAGCTAGTAGAAGTGGAGGATACAGGGGCCACAGGGGAAGGCGACAGAGTCCAATGATGGGGAAAAAAAAGAAATTAAGCTGATGATGTCACTATCTACACAGAAGTGAACTAACTCACTTGTTCGTGCATACTTCGCCCATCTACCCCCTCGATGCAAGACCGACGCTACGCGTACAAACCACGCAAACATGTTTAATCGCCCCCCCGCTGCACGATCACGAGCACCGTCGTGTTTTATGGTCACGGAACGAGGACGTGGAACACAAGGTCACCAGATCACGACACATACATGTATGCAGATGTGAAGTACACCGTGATCAGGATTATGCGGGCCGTATGCGCACACGGATAAGGCGTGTGGTGTTTCGTCCCATCACTTTCTGGGCGCCAGTCCGTAACAACCCGATTGCCGGGATGCGTTTGAATCATGCACCAGCTAAGGTTACAAGGGTAGACATTCTGGTATCTTTGACTTCACGCACGCGTCGTGGCAATGGTCCCAAGTCCTGGTGGTCCTGAAGAAAAAATAAGAACGAGGTTGACAGTCCCGTCATTTCGTGAAACCGTCAAAATTTTCTATTCTCGATTCCGTCGACACGACGTCGTGCTGTCGGGAACCTCGTCACGTTGTCCTTCCATTCCGCCTTCGGAGACGCCCGCTTCTGTACGACCCGCCAATCGAAGGCGGCGTAGACAACGGTATTGTTCGTGACGCCTGCCGTCCATGACCAAACGTCGTGGCCAAGTTGCAAGACCAGCAGCAAGACGGCCGGGTTGGCGTTGATCGGCACCCAAGACCATTGATTTACGGACTGAGGACATCGAAATCGGTCGTCTTCTATCGCTCTTCGTCGTGGCGTCGGCCGCACATCGTCACGCATGGGGTACGCCTTGAGCGAGAAGGACAAGGAGAACCCGGACAATGAGGTCCTCCAGGGTAGCCCCGACTTCAAGGCGAGACGTTGTTGCAGATATGACTACTTGTGCAGGTTCATTCACTACTTGCTGTCGTGGTACCGTATAGTTGGCCCCCGGTCGGGCGTCGCAACCATGTATTGGACTAAAACTGTAGTCTACAAACCTGGTAGAGAATATAAGCGAGCATGCCTTTGGGATGGGTAGTACTGCTTTAGGTGGATGTCGGCGTGGGTCGTTGCCATGGCCGACTGCTGTCTCTCACGCGAAGGCTGCAAGGAGCGCTGATGTCAAACCACCGTACTCGGAACAGCACGGCATGACCCACGAGACGACACGAGACTCGAAAAGGCGTACGCCTAATGTTCTCTCTCTCTCTCCCTCTCCCTCGACAACGCGCGTATGGTATGGTATATCCATATGCATATCGTGCTTTCCCAGCACGTTTTCCAGCACGCCCAAAACTGGGCGTGGACAATTCGCCACAGCAGACTGATACACACATAGTCTACACGGATGGAACTTCTCTGAACTCAGTATAAATGCACAGCACGGAAGCAGTACCCACCGGTTAAGGGCACACGGAAAAAAAGGTTGCATAAGTCCTACGGTACGGGTTTAGAGAAGCCTCCCGGGGACGAGGTTCGAAGGGGCGTGTGGAAGGCCGGATTGCTAGGCATTCGAGACCCCTGTTCGATGAAAAGGCTATAATCCGTTTATAACTACTCAGTAATGGATTAGCCTTTATGGAACCAAAGATTTGAATGTGGGTTCGATTCCCAGTGACGACACTTTAGAGGTACCATGTTAAGACTCTTCCAGCACAGCGCATGGCGACGGGTCCGCCCCGGAGTTCACTGCTGCTGTCGTAGCTGGGAGGCCAAGAGCCCTAGACTGACTGGGTAGTCTACAGTGAGCTACTCTTTCATTAGACAATACCGGCCTGGACGAGAGCAATGTCTTTGGGGATACCGACATTTGTCGAAGCGACTCAAGGTGCAACGCCTTGTCGAAGTGATACCACCATCGCTGAAGGCGATGGAGTAAGAGCCCGTAGATGCATCGCGACTTGCTCACAATCTCCCCTAGGTGCCTCAGCACTCTAAAGGGACCATTTACCCCCCGGAAGGTTGAGCTTCGAAGCAAACAATGCACGACACAGTGGAACGTTTAGTTGGATGTGAGTCCCTCGTGCCCTGTCCCTCGCAACAGACCCCCAACCAGAAATAATAACCTCTCCACATTTTAAACGATGACGATGCGTTCACAGGAAGGATATTAATGAAATACATTCCGCGACGACTTTCTCGCATAGTAATCGCCTTGTATGGTGTTATTGCGACCCCCCAACCCCTACTCCCTCCCCTCGCACAAACCAGTCCGTCCTGTTTGCACGCAGCAAAGCGCTTGGCAAGACACGTCTCCCAAGCAGTTCTTGTTTGCCGCTAACGAAATGGACTTACACGCCTTGTTCACACGCGTCGACGTCAATCAACCCTCAGGTCCAGAATGGGAACCGAAAATGCACGGATATCCTCTTCCTCCTCATGCTGTTCGCGGCCTGGGCGGCGATGACCATGCTTGGCTTCATCGTCACGGGGCTAATCCCGAACGATGGGTTGGAGCCGGGGAATCCCAAACGCCTTCTCAACGGCATCGACTACGAAGGTCGCATCTGCGGGGTGGGCACCACCGTACAGGTAAAGCTGCGTGCCTTTCTCTCTCTTCCCTCGGGGTTTCCGAAAAGATGAAATTTGGAGCAATTCGAAAGAATGCAATAACCGAAGTTGGAGGCTCGGCGAGTTCCGCCAAGAGCACTTTGGCCGTACCCGCCCTGCCCGGGGTATAACGAAACTTTTATGCACGAGTACAGGCACGAGGCACTCAAGAACCTCTACTGGTTTTGGCCGAGGCTGGGGTTCTTATTTAGTTCCTACAGGGTTATGCTACGAATGGCCGTTGTATGGGTTGTAGTGTAGGGGTTATTGACCTCAACTGGTGCTCAAATTCTTAACTGCCAAAATCTTTTCTGCTAAGTTCCCTATGTGCGGGCGCTATCTGTAGCGTTGCGGACGTATACTACTCCGTATGTACATATTCCCTGCACTATATCTATTTGTAGAACGTTTGCTGCACACAACGTTGTGTTGCTGGCCTGCTACAAACGTTGAATCCCAATCGGGGCGTGAGGGGGCGAGCGTCGTTTTCCAGAAACCGAAGTACCATCGGCTGGCTGTTCAGAACATCGAACTCCCATCGGCTGACCGCGAAAACCGTGCTCTGGCGCGCAGGAGCGAGAGAATATCTACTTCCTGCCGTCCGGAAACGGCGTGTGCGTGGAAGAATGCCCGGCCACAACCAACTACACCCAGTTCATCTGCTATGACGAGGTCTACCCAGAGATCTTCAACAACGAGACCGGCGAGGTACAGAAGACATGGGCCCCACTATCCCTTACTTTGTACAGGGGATCGTCATTGAAAATACGTGGAGCCTGGGTTTAGCCTTACTTTTGGGGGTTGAGAAAGTCGACCTCGTCTGTGATTACTCGCACGACCACGGAGCAGCAAGCACCCTCTTCGTTGTGAAGTACTCGGGGCCGTGAGAGTTGACCAATCTGGAGGGGTGTGATGTGTCGCACGACTACGTCGCGGGAAGGCGATGGGACTAGGGGCCTCGTCCCATGCGTGCCTTTGCACGAGTCCCTAGATGTGCAGATATAATCACCCAGTTGCAATACAAAAGGTTCTTCATGAAGCTCTCGCGGTTAATGTTCTCGTGGTCTTTCTTCGCGAACGTTGTTTTTTTCCTAAAAACCACAACATATTCATCTCTTCCGCAAAGTTTACGCGTCTGGGATAGATTTGCTATGAGTTCATCGCTTTGTAGATATGATAACCAACCTGTACATTTTCAATGAACTCGTCGTGTTGTAGATAGATATGATATTCGACCTGCATATTTTCCATGAATCCATAGCGTTGTAGATATGATAACCAACCTGTATTATCTACGGTTTTCCTTGTCTCGATCGCCGCAGGTTGACATCCAGGAAGCCTGGACTCGAGTTTCGGCCGGGGATTGCCTCTACCACATGGCCACCACCAACATCCTGAGCTACTGCGTCTTCGACTCAGTGATTGACCTGGCGGATGAGGCAGCCACGCTAGCTGTCGAGGCGGAGATGGCCAACGCTCTCAACGGGACCAACGCTAACTACACGGTCGTCTCGTCTGACGTATCGGAATCCACGTGGTTCGAGGGTGGGTCGAGCGGTTCAGATCCCCGTTGTACACTGTTGTTGTTGTGCTCGATAGCCTCCCTCCCGGCACTAGTATCTACATTGTCCTTGTCGACGGTGGGTGGAGGGGTTCCGTGTCGTGGTTGAAGCTGCTCCTGCGCTGAACATGGGCATTCGAATCGTTGTCGCGCGCTTTATTGCTGTCCATTCGCTTCACTCTCTCCAGTCTACACCTGTTGACGTATATGTGAGAGCATCAGCCGTGGTCCCAGCAGGAGGCATTCTCCTCCTTTCCCCCTTGCCGCAAATTGAAACAATAAACGAGTGGTATCTTCGACCTCGAAAAAATGTCTCTTATACGACCCCCTCTCAAAACAGAAACGGCACTGCACTGTCTCTGTGTCACCCTTCAACTCCTCCCTCTCTCTATCTGATACCCCATTGCCTCCTTCTGTCTCTTCCCCGCCATGCAGACGTATTCGCTGACATGCTGACTGCTCGAGGCCTGATCGGCGGTTTCGGTCTGGGAGTCTCTGTCCTCGTCGGCACAGCGTACTTGTTATTCCTCCGCATCCCCGGGGTGCTGTTCCTCCTCATCTGGGGCCTCCTGTTCGGCGTGTGGGCGATCCTTGCCGGGGCCGGAGTGATGCTACTTCAGACGTCGGAGACCTGGGGGGCGGAGGAAGAGCCTCGGATTCACAGCGACGGGGAGGTTAACGCCGCCAAGTATCTCTCCTACATCATGTTCGGTGGGTTGCGTGGCCTCTCGTAAGTCATTTTTTTTCTCTCTCTTTACTTTTTTTTTATTTTTTTCTTGCACGTAAAGCAACAGAACTATACTGTATCTCGTCTATCTCCATCCATGAACGAGAAATCCGAGAGATGTTGTTAGCGATTAAGCTTTGAACACGCTACTGCGGACGAGAAAGTTTTGTTTCGCGCCAACGCTGCGTCCTTGATCGATCAATGGGAAACCTGCAGAGAAAACATGGGTTTGTCGTGGGTATGGTCCAAGATCTGATACAGTACGTGGTGAAAATGGATAATACCTCAGTTTCTAAACTACGAACATCTTTCGCGGGCGCGCATTCTGTATAGTCAATGCGCAGCATACCGCACAGATCCCGCTTCGTCGTCACTGAAGCACCACTCGCTGTAGATCTGTTTCATATGCCGGCAACCGCGTGTGTGTGCGAAACCTCTCACGTTGCGCTATGTATGGACGGACGGCCGTTCGGTTTTTGTTGTGGCCTGCTTCGGAGCAGGGATGTGCGTTGTGTGGGCCCTCCTGATGCTGTGGTTCCGAAAGCGGATTAAGATGGCCATCGCTATCACCAAGGAGGCCAGCAGAGCGGTGAACGATATGAAGGTAATGATGGTTGCTTTCATTCGTACTGCTGCTGCTGCTGCCGCTGCTGTTGGCGTTGGTCGTGTCGTTGTCCGTATCCTCCTTCTTTCTTCTTGTTCTTCTTCTTCTTCTTCTTGTCGCCGTCGCCGCCGTCTTTGTGGTTGTCATGCTTGTCTTTGTGGATATATTTTTTCTTGTCGTGTGATTGTTGATCGTGGTGATGATGTTGATGTGGGCGTGGACAGGAAGACTTCTCTACGTTGCCTCATGCGGTGCTTGGCTTCAACGTTTGTCGCGAGAAGGGCTCAGTAGTCTCTCCCCTCTTGTTGTTACTGTATGCTCACGACTGTATGGGTAAAAACACCCGCGACGATTTATTTATTTGGTCCAGTCACAATCCACAAAGGCCGGGATAACGTTCGACGCTAGAGGACCAGAATCGTTGAAAATCTATGCAGTCAATTTACGGCTGTTCTGGTGGTGATTATGCTCCAATACTCTTCATATTTATCTGCCGTATGCAATGCGACAACCGAACAGGTATGTACAGGGGTCATCATACACACCTTAGACCGAACTGCATAGATAGCCCGATAGCCTAATGCGTAATTAATTCGCTGACAATCCCGAACAAAAGGGGAAAAAGGGTCATATTTACAACGATCTCTTTCGAGAGTTTTTCGTGGGCACGTATCGGTCGGTTTCTGCACGCTCCTGGTCGTGGTGCAATCCCTGAAGAATACCCAATTGAAGGCTCACTTTTAGATTCATCTCTTTGGACAGTCGCGCATGCTGTCGCCTTGCTCTCTATAGGTAGACTGAGAGAGCAGGGGTAAGATCCAGTTCCCTCTAAGAGGGGATACAAAGGTCCTGGCCCCTTCCTTTATCCTTCGACGGGGAGTTACATCTCCAGCATTTCCAATCCGAACTAGCCTACACTACCGTTGATACTTCCTACATTCAAATCCCATGACATTTCTGTATCCCCGCGGTCGTGGAGCAATCGAGAGCTTCGAAAGTAGATATAGGGGTGGTGCGATCGCTCGCACACTTTCGGCAGTTCAGTACTCTATTTCGAGAAGGGAATTCACGCAGAGAACAGTTTTCCGTTAACGACTGGTTCACGGTGCGTTTGTTTGTTTTGCTGTCGTCAGCTGTTGATCCTGTTCCCGGTGGTTCAATCCGCGGCTCTGCTGATATTCCTCCTGCCGTGGGTGACCTTCGTCCTCTACCTGGCTTCCAGCGGAGAGGTGAGCAAACAAGGGAGGAAGAAGTAACGGCGGATTTGTGGTGATGCAAACCCTGCCAGCGCATTGGTCGTGTACACCGGATGCTCGCTGCAATTTCTGGATTCTGACCCCACGTGTGAACACGTCCTCAGTAAATTGAAGAGTGCGAAAAGGCAGCAATCATACCTGTTCACAACGAAGAAAGTGAAACCGTCAGAAACGGAAATCACAACACCGTCAGCAAGGAAGAGTCAGTCAGAAACCGATACGCCGTTATCACAAAAGGAAACACAACCAGCCGTCATAGAGGGAAACGAAACCATCACAAAAGGAAGCACACCCGTCACAATATGAAAGGCAGCACGCTTTCAGAAAAGGTAACGGACCCGTCATCAAGAGAAAAACACCCGTCATACTGTAAAAAGGCAACGAAGCCGTCAGAAACCGAAATATAGCCGTCAGAACACGACACGTCACAGCCAGAAAAGGAAACGTAACCGTCAGAAAAGGAAACGTAACCGTCAGAAAAGGAAACGTAACCGTCAGAAAAGGAAACGTAACCGTCACAAAACGCACGCAACCGTCGGAAAATTGGCGTAACCGTCAGAACAGAAAACTTGACCGTCAGAGGTGGAAGCACAACCGTCAGATACGGAAGTGTCGCCGTCAGAAACGGAAACTAAACCGTCAGAGATGGAAGCGACCCGGAAACGAAACCGTTAGAGATGGAAGCGCAACCGTCACAGACGGTAGCGTAACCGTCAAGACAAGGCCGTATTCTAGTGTATTTGGCATTAAGGAAACACACGTACATGCGCGTAAGATGAAAGATCCCACAAAACCAGTACGATTTCGGCCGGAACTTATCCCCTCAGCAAAGAGCAAAGGTGGCACGACAACGAGCGCTCGAGCTCTTTGGGCATTCCTTCTGAAAAGCCGTTGCGAATGCTTAGCAAATCGCGGTCTGGTACTATACTTACGCCATCGGAATGGGCGTGTATCGACAACGTCCTTCCATGCCCCCGAACTGTACTGATGATGTACAAGTAGGTCGCATTGGCAATCTTTTTTCTTATCCGAAACGGCTTCTTTCCTGCAAACCAGCCTCAAGACGTTCGTCAAGCTACCCTCTCGCGATCTAGGGCAATACGCTATAATAGCGCCTGAGCAAGTTTGCGCCGTCTCCTAGCTTTTAGGCGAGCCAGCGGCCGCAGCTCTTTGCCTTTGCCTGTTTGAATGTTGCAAATGACGGAGGTTCTCCAGGGTAGACATCGACACGGGTGGGTGCTGTTGTTCTGGTGGTCGTTGCTGTGGTTGTTCTGTTGCTGCGACGTAGCGACAACGACGACATACAAATTGTCCACATCATCAACAAGCATCGACAACGAAGACGACCAGGTCCACAACAACAACGACAGCAGCAACGACGGCGACGACGACGAAGACAACTGCGACCCCCTTCTCTAAACGGTTGTCACACTTGCCACACTCCCCAGGTATCCACGACAACAGCCAACTAAATAAACGTGTGTCACGATGTCCTCCACTCTCCAGATAACGACGGAACAGTGGGAAACAGGGGCGGGAACCACCATAACCGTCAAGCAGTTCAAGTACACCGACAACATACGCTACACCGCGCTCTACTTCCTTTTCGCCTACTTCTGGACCAGCGAGTTCATTGTCGCCATGGGACAGGTGTGTGTGTGTGTGTGTGTGTTTGTGTTGTGTCATTGTGTTTGTGTATGCTTGTGTCATTGTGTTTGTGTATGCTTGTTGTGTCATTGTGTTTGTGTATGCTTGTGTCATTGGTACTAACATCGACCGCTCTAACTTTGCTGGCCAACGAAACGACGTCAGTCTCAGTTGGCTGTGTGTGTGCTCCATCGTGTTTATTTGATTAGGGGCGTAGGCACACACTCAGGCGTCCGGAAGCATGAATCTCTTGCAGCTTGGTGAGTGTTCAGCGCCCAACCAATATGATGGGCGTTTCGCGCCACATAGTGCTGAAACATTGCCCGGGTCGTTTGAGTGTGTGTGCTTCTTGTAGCGTTTCAGTACCCGTTTTTTCTGTCTGGAGGACTTGATAGAGGACAGAATACGACCCCAAAGCACAACAACACCGACGAAAGATCAGCACGAAACGACTGATGATACAATATTACACAACGAATAGAACCAACGACAACGACAACAACAACAACAACAACAACAACCCCGCGCAGATAGTGGTGGCCATGGCGGTGGCGTCGTGGTACTTCTGCCGCGACAAGAGCACCATCGGAAGCGGCACCGTGCTCTCCTCGGTGAAAACTTCCCTCTTCTACCACTCCGGCACCGCGGCCTTCGGCTCGCTCATCATCGCCATCATCAAGACCATCCGCGCCATCGTGGCGTACATCCAGAAGAAGACCAAGGACACTCATAACAAAATACTTCAGGTGTGATGGGAAAAGGATACGTAAGAACGAGATGGACCTACTTGTGTTTTCCACGCAAAGACTTAAGCTACACTTGCCACAGGCTTATTGCCAAGTTAATGGCAGCATATACAAATATCAGGGACGTTCTCTTTGCCTTCGTATCTGTTTAAGTACATCGGTCTTGTGACGTATTAGCCACCGATAAGTTTTCAGTGCCTTGGTGAGAACGTAGAGGGCGAAGTACAGGACGGACCCCGAAATCTTTTCTTTGTGGAGAAAAAAAAACTCAATACGGATAGAGTCTCGTGAGTGTACCCCCCCACTCGCCTTGGGGACCACACGTCCACTCGCCTTGGGGGCCACCTGTACTGATGGTTCTTTCGGCACAGCTGCTGGTCCTTCTGTTACGGACTTGGCCGAATGAGTTCCGCACGGTGCGTTTCCCGGTCGCTGAGAAAACACGCCTGTCTGCGTGGTGAAACTCCGGCGTTCCCCTTTGCTGACGTGCTGACTACAATAGCCAGGCATGATACTGAGTACCCCCCGTCCCCTTTGCCCTCGCTTATTTCTCGCTCTCTGTGTGCACACACACACACCCATCGCCTTCTCTTCACATGTCTAACAAGAACGAAAAGGTGGTTCTCTGTTGCGCGCCGTGATGCACCTGGCAAGATACTGAGTACCCCCCCAGCTCTTTGCCCCTCTCTGCCCTTTTCCCCCCTCCCGGGTCTCTCCTCTTCACACGTCCGAGGAGGGTTGGTTCTGGATTGCGTGCAGTGTCGCCTCTGGCATGATACTTACCACCGTCTATCTTCTTTTTCTCTCTCTTTCTCTGCGCGCCCCCTCCTCCCCCCCCTGTCGCTTTCTCTCCACCCATCCGACAACAACGAAACATAGGCGGTGCTGTGCTGCGTGCAGTGCTGCCTCTGGTGCCTGGAGAAGTGCATGAAGTTCCTCAACAAGAACGCCTACATACAGACGGCTATCTTCGGGTACAGCTTCTGCACGGCCGCAAAGAAGGCCTTCTTCCTCATCGCGCGCAACATCATGCGCGTCATGGCGGTCGGGGTGGTCTCCGAAGTCGTCTTGATCCTCGGCAAGGTGCGAAACTCGGTGACGTGATGACACCGCCTTTGTTCTCATGCTTGCTGTCGCTGTCGCTGTCGCTGTCGCTGTCGCTGTCGCTGTCGCTGTCGCTGTCGCTGTCGCTGTCGCTGTCGCTGTCGCTGTCGCCGTTGCCGTTACTGTTGCTGTTGCTGTTGCTGTTGCTGTTGCTGTTGCTGTTGCTGTTGCTGTTGCTGTTGCTGTTGCTGTTGCTGTTGCTGTTGCTGTTGCTGATGCTGATGCTGTTGCTGTTGTCATATTTGCTGTTGCTGTTGTCGTAAGTGATAGTGGGGTTGGTGGTGGCAGTGATGGTGGTCGATGTCATATGTTTCCTCAAACGGGCGAGTTGCTTGTCGCCACGGTTAACACCACACCTACCGTAACGGTGCGCGCAATGGCACGGACGTGCGATCGATCGACACATGTAAATATTAAGATTTGCTGCACAGTAACCAAGAGGAAGACACAGCCCGACCGACACATGCAAGAAAAAAGTTCTCTACTAGATCTTTCCTAGACCACCCTTGTCGACAATGGTAGCCTCTTTGATTTTGGAGCAGCTGGGCTTTAATAAAGCGATGGAACGCCAACTGTGCATTCGCCCGCACTCTTACGGTTATATTTTTCCAATCATCGTCCTTGCCGTCAGCTGTATCGGTTGTTGTTATAGTCATCGCCCTTGCCTTCAGTGTTTTAGAAATGGTTTCGCCGCTACACAAATTCCATGTGCAGCGGATGGGAAATCCATGTAGGATATCTTTTTCGGAAGCATTGGAGAGCGAACCAGCTGGGTTCCACCGAAGGTAACAAAGAAGACAAGAAGAGCGCACGCTAAGATCGTGCATGTGCGTCCTGTCTAGCAACAACGGGGCAACGCTAAGACCGTGTATGTCCGTGCGGAACAGCAACATCACCGTAACGTTAAGAAGAGCGTGTGTATGTCCGTGCGCATCGAGGTGATGATCCCCCTGGTGTCGACGGTTCTCTTCTACGTCTGTGCCGAGGCCACCATCTCTGACGAGCTCCACGGCATGGTGGCCATATCGGTGCTGGTCTTCATTGTGGCGTTTTTTGTGGCCAACATGTTCACGGAGGTGAGAAGACGTCTTCGTGGTTGTTGCTCGCGCTCAAACTTGGGTTGGAGAGAGAAAATGACAGAGAGAGAGAGAGAGAGAGAGAGAGAGAGAGAGAGAGAGAGAGAGAGAGAGAGACAGACAGACAGACAGACAGACAGAGAGACAGACAGACAGACAGAGACAGAGACAGAGACAGAGACAGAGACAGAGACAGAGACAGAGACAGAGACAGAGACAGAGACAGAGACAGAGACAGAGACAGAGACAGAGACAGAGACAGAGACAGAGACTGAGACAGAGACAGACAGACAAACAGACAGACAGACAGACAGAGGATTGAGAGGAGTCCATTGTGACCAACAAGATCACAGCAGACGCGAGGAAACGTCTCTCGATTGCGAATTCAAGGTTGAACTCGAGAGAGAGAGAGGGGGGGAGGGGAGGGGGGAGGGGGGGGGTTTCGTCTTCTCGTGGGAGGGGAGGCATGCGGGGGGGGCGGGGAGGGGGATTTTCTTCTCCACGGGGGAGGGGTGGGGGGCGAGGGCGGGGAAGGTTTTAGTTTAATTTGCTCTGTATGTTGGAGGTGGGCACTGGTTTGGTTATTTTGTCATTCTGCAAGTAGCCTCCGTTACAGGCTAGCCGGAGATGGGTGGAGGATGCTGTGCTTGTTTTGTTGCTGGTGCTCCCTCGCGTAGTTCAGGGTCCTTCTTTTCCTCTGCATGTTTTGGCTTTGTTCTTTTGTTCATGGCTTGTCCTCTTTTGCGGAAAAATATCAAGAAAACAAAAGGCCTACCGATATCCTTCGGTCTACGCTCGTGTTATATATATGGATGTACCCAACAATAACAGCAGCAACAGCGGCAGTCACGATGTTGGGGGGCGAG